GATAGAAAGTCGTGGAAACGTGTCAAGACATCTTCTAACCACTCCCAATATAATTCGGTGTGTGGCAATTCAGCAAAAAGTATACAGGGAATACTCCATGATACTTCCTTTGCCTGAACATTGAGACCCAAGAGTGAAAATTGGTTTTCCTCAACAACTCTCTTATGAAGTGAAGAATTTAATATCAAGGCTTCTGAGATAATAGATTCTTCATTAATCTGATCAAGACCAAAGTTGGTGAGGTCGCCTATAGCCTTGCGTGTCCAATAAGAAGAACAATATTTATTGTCGAGATCAGGCATTTGAATGCGTGTTCAATGAGAAGAACAATGTTCATTGTCAGGATCAGGCAAATGAATGGCATTGCAACCGAGAAGTGAGTCGGATACGCTTAATGTGATTTCTTGGCTTCTTCGACTATTTTCGCTCTCCAAGATAGTCATCTTTTGCTTCATAAAATACTTGAATACCACCATGATGGAACAACAAACAAATTTAAAGCTCGATCGGTGTTGTCTAGAAGGACGATTTCAATTTCTGCTACGGCTAGCAAAACAAAGTTGCTATACCCAATCAAGCACTTCAAAAGAAAAGGTTAAAGGAACATGAAAAAAAAAAAAAAAAAAAAAAAAAAAGGAAAGAAAAAAAAGAGGAAGGAAAAAAAATTGTCAAAAAAAAAAAAGTCGTGAAAAAAAAAAAGAGGGAAAGGAAAGAAAAAAAGGAAAAAATTGCGTGAAAAAAAAAAAAAGAGAAAGAAAAAAATTGTGTGAAAAAAAAAGAGAAAAAGGAGAAGAAAAAAATTACGTGAAAAAAAAAGAGGAAAAAAATTGCTTGAAAAAAAAAAAAAGAGAAAAAGGAAAGGAAAAAAAAAAAAGAAAAAGAGAAGAAAAAAAATTTGAGTGAAAAACAAAAAAAAACAAAAAACAAAAAGAGAGAAAATTTGCGTGAAAAAAAAAAAAAAAAAAAAGGAAAGTTGGATACTTAAAGTCCCATTTGAAAAAGGAAACAAGTCATGTCAAACTTGGGACTCGAAGTGGGGGCAATTTGTAGATACTAAAATTTTAGTAGGCTTTGGTTTTAACAAATGAACCCATTAAATACGGGCCTAATGTTTAATTAAGTTATTTAATTGGCCCAAGCTTGGTCCACTTAAATTATTTAATTAGTCCAGCCCAGATGGTTAAATAAACAGATAATTATTCCTAATAAAATATATTTGGAATAATTATTTTTAAGGATAATTATTATAATATAACCGGCCCGGCCAGTTATAATTTTATCCTTATCAGGAGATGACACGTGTCATCATCCTATCAACCCAAGAAGCTTATAAATAAAGGCCTGGAGGAAAAAGGAAGTGACAGAAATTTAGAAAATCCAGAGGGTCCAGAAATTGAGAGACTCAAAAATTCAGAGGGGATACAAATTCAGAATTCAGAAATCTAGAATTCCAGAGAGAACTCTCATCCCCAACATCCAAACCCAAAAGCGGAGAACACCAAGCACATCAAGACGTGCCATTCTTCATCAAATTTCACGGTGATCAACAACGAGCATAGCCAAAGACATGCCGTTCTTCAACCAAATTCCACAGTGATTCAAGATCAAGTTTGTGCAGCCTTTGGATCCAACCAACCAAAAAGGAGATCGAATCAGAGTACCTTATTTTTTGAAATATTATTACAAAGGATTGTACTCCATCTTTATAAATTAATAAAAATCTATTTGCTCCCAATTTTGTTTCTTATTTGCAAATTACAAAATTTGTATGTACTTGTAGATCTTCCGTAACCAACAAATCTTAAATGGTCTTATAAGATGTCCATTATAATTAGGGTAAATGCGTTAAACTCCCCTGAACTATGACCGGATTACAAGAGACCCCTGAAGTAAGCAAAATCCCCTGAACTATCATTTTGTTGCACTGTTAATGAGACGGTAACAAAAATAGTAAATTACCTTTTAGCCCTAAAGTTGAACAATGTCGTTTAGAGTTTCAGCTGCTGATATGGCAAGTACAATCTCAATGTCTAATAGAAAATCGACAGCACATCAACCTCATCAGTTATCACAATTGTTTTATTTGATTTTTTTTTTTCTATTGTACAAACCTAGATTGCCTCCATTATGCATACTGATCTCTCCCAGCACTAAGAAATCATTGATCTATGCCGAAACTCAATGCCCTTCAATTTTCCACACATATACCATAAACATGTATGGTGTCTATATATACATATCCATTACGATTTACTACCAACAAACCATCTGTATCATCCTCTAATTCTCTTGCATTTTATGTGTTCATCAATATATGTATGCATATTGTATATGTATTGCTTGTGCTTTTCAGGTTTATGTATGTCTATGGATCATTGATGATATATTTCCTCTTTAATTGGACGTCTTCCATCCCTTCCCAGATCAAACTAAAACCATCAAAATTCAAGCAAGTCTCTCATCTGGGTCTCTCAATTATTCTAAAATCTTCAATTTTTGTGAGTATTTCGTATAGTTTTAATTGGTGATCCATACTATTACCATGGACAATCAAAATGATGCATTGGTGAGTCAACTGGGAGAGAGCATAAGGGACATTTCTAGGCTACCCGAGTGCCGACACATCTTGAAGAAGATGTACGGTAATTTGCTTCAGAGGGTGAAGCTGTTAACTTACAAAAAACAAAAAGAGTGAAGCTATTAAACCCTCTGTTTGAGGAATTGAACGACAGCCACGAACAGCTTGGCAATGATGAAGTTCTAGATGACGGCAATGATGAGGTTCGAGGACTCGAATCATTAAGGGTTGCTTTGAATTCAGCTAAAGAGCTTATTTGATCACACCAACCTATCAACGAAAACCTCGCACGCCCACCAATCTCATATGACTAAAGTGCTCTCATTTTTGTTAAATTTTTGACGATGGGTTAATATTTGCAACAAATTAAATAATTTAGGGAGTTAAGTGTCTTATTAGTCATAATTTAGGAAGGTTAGGGTTTAATGCACTTTACCCTTATAATTATTCTCAATTTCATTGACTTGGTCGTCCATGCATCATTTCAGTTTTTCCTGACGAGCACCCAAAATTCAGTTTATGAGACAAGAATGAATGGATGCAGTTCATAATTTGTTTTGATCATTCTTTCTCGTGTTGATTGGAGTGGGGGTGGCAGCTCATGCAATCTATATTTTATTAATTCATGCACTTATACACTCAAATTTTCTATATAATTGAAAGCGAGAAAGAATTCCCAATAACTATACTTTTTAAAACACAACAAAATATTAGTTTACCATTTTTTTAACTAATATTTGTTCCACCCTTTAAAAAAAATTTTGTTTAATTCGTTCAAAATTTGAAATATTGGAGGAAATTAAAATCTATATCATGATAGAGACAAGGTGAGTCAATCCATTGAACGAATGGGTTGGTTTATTGAAGAAAGGAGAAAGGAGATTAACACGGCCCACAAGTGTGTAACAGCCATATTAACGAAGCAGTAGCCGGTTTGTATAAAAAGGAGGATGGATAATAGTTTTGATTTCCAGTGTTTTTTTTGGGTTAAAGGGTAAGGTTGTATATAAGAGAGAGAATGTACATGAAGTTCCAAGATGGGGAAATACTGAGATTTGATTTCCAGTGTTATTATAACATATTAGATATAAAAAAAAATAAATAAATAAATAAATAAAAAGTATTTTTACCTATATTTGAAAAGAATAATCGAACTCATGTGCTAATGCATACACCATGTTTTAATTGAATTTTTTTTTGGATAAGTCAATATATTCAACCAAAAAAGTAAGTGTAGAACAGAAGCATAAAGGGCGAGAGTCACAACGGGCGCCAAGCACCCCAAAGGAAAAACAACCAAACAACCAATCAACGTTTACATAACTGTTTACAAAAAGAAAAGGCTCAGCAACAGTTATTTTAGTATTATTACGTACTGATCTTCCCTCAAACGTGAGGGGCAAGATACAAAACATGAAGATCAAAGTCACCCCAAAGGAAGGAGGGTTGATCCAGGAGTTGGAGTCTTCAAGCCAAGCAGAGGCAACTGATCTTCCCTCTTTGCTATTTGCAAGTTTCATAGAAAGACATCAAAGTTGATTATCTAAGTCGGACTCATCTCTTACTGCCCGGTTCTGTTGCAATATTGAATTTATGTTTTTCTATCTTTTCTCCACGTTGGAGACTTGGAGTTGCCAATATTTTCTTCAAGTTGGAGTCGTCTAATAAATTTGGATAACCAATTGGCATTATATCTAGCCCATAACTTCTCTATCTTCAAAAATATGAGTTTGGATAATTAACGCGCAACTCCTAGCTCTATTATTTAAATTTAGTTCATTTGTGCTTATAACGGTCATTAATGAATTTTGTACTTATATAATCAAATATAACGATTTTTCCTAATTTAACAATAAATGAAATAATTTTTTAAAAAAATTAAAAAAAAAATAAACTAGATTTTCAGTGATCAATTTGTCATAGGATTCCATCAAGGACTTCTTACACATTTATTGAATGGATCAAGTTCATATGAACTATGTAACAAAATATTATCAGGTTGACACAGACTAAAAGACCCGCCAACACAAATGGTCTACCCTAACAGTTTACCTTCTTAGATTACTTTGAATTTTTCTTTTTTGGTCTTTCATTCACCATATCAGTTTCAAATTGAAAGAAACACACAACAATAGAATCCTAAATTATGGTAGACAACTTATGTAGGCAAAGCCCAAGGATTGTGAAGATCAACATAAATACACCCAATAAATCAAATAAATAGGCCAATTAATTAAATAGAATAAATAGACCAACATAAATAAGCTTAATAAAAAACTTATGCAATAAAGAAGTCTTAATTAAAAACTTCTCAAATTTCCAATATAAATACCTTCTCACTACCTTCCTTCATTCATCACATCTAACATTTTCTCTCTTCTAGTATACTTCAGTACTCAAATCTATTTTAGGCTTTTAGGATATGGGTTCAAAAAGTTCAGTTTCGGCTGTGCTTTTCCTCTCGATGAACATTATCTGCTATGCTTTAGTCAATGCAGGTAGCACCTACACTTCAAATCCAGCGCCAAGTCCAAGCCCATCAAACCCAAAACCAAATCCAACGCCAAGTCCAAGTCCATCAAACCCAAACCCGAGTCCAACACCAAACCCAAACCTGAATCCAACTCCTAGCCCTAGCACTAGTCTTTCGAAACCAAAACCAAATCCAACGCCTAGCCCTAGCACCAGTCCTTCAAAACCAAAACCCAATCCAACGCCTAGTCCATCAAACCCAAAACCGAATCCAGTGCTTAGCCCTGGCACTAGTCCTTCAAACCCGAAACCGAATCCAATGGCTAGCCTTGTCACAAGTAATCAATCACTGAGTTGCCCTAGAGATGCCCTAAAACTAGGTGTTTGTGGAAATTTACTTGATGGGTTGATTGGAGTTATCATAGGAAATCCTCCCACCGCACCATGCTGCACATTGTTTGGCGGGTTGGTGGACCTAGAGGCGGCAGTTTGCCTCTGTACTGCCATAAGAGCAAATGTGTTGGGCATTAATGTCAATGCTTCATTTTCACTCACTCTGCTTTTCAATGCTTGTGGAAGGACTCTCCCACCTGGTTACACATGTGCTTAATGCGTTCACCATTAATTAATCCTCTCTCTCTTCCTCATCTAGATCTCCAATATCATCTCTTTAATTGCTTTATCAATCAAGCTATTACTATATATTTTGTGATTGTGGCACCGTGTGGAACTGTTTGGTCTTTTGCAGTTGATATAATATAATATTGTTTGCAAAATCATGTGATTTGTCAATTTTTTATTTGTTTATGTGCTCATGTTTCAACTAATATAAGAAAAATTCTATTGCAAATGTCGCATGTATATATATATATATTTGAAAGTTAAAGCAACTGACATATATGGGATGAGGATGAACTCGAACCTGGGCCATTTGATTACAAGCACCAACACCCTACCAACTGGGCTATCACACCCCACCCCGCATGTGTATATATTACATACACATGAGAGAGATGAAACATACCTTAAAGCAAATTTAACTCGTACAAAAACAAGAAGCTAGGTCTCCTCAGCAAAGGCTGTTCGGACTCTCCCAAAACTAACCATGCACATAAAAAAGTGCAAGCTATAATCCATAACTTTGGTAAGTATCTATTACAATGACTCCACAAAAAATCACTTGTACAGATACATACAAAATTATACGATTTGATCAGCCTCATCAATATGACGTTATGACCTAATCAATGGAAATATGATTTTTCATTGCTTAAATTAGGGAAAATTAGATTTAGTGACTAAAATTAAAAATAATAACTTTAAAATGACCTTAGAGTTACAAAAAGTTGAATAATGGCCAATCTTGAAACTAAATTGGTCTTCTAGTGACCATAATTTGGACACAAAATTTATTCATTCAAAAGGTTAGGATAATATGATTCCTAAGAATCCCACTTTTTATTATAACTTATCACTTTAAATCTATTATCTTTAATTTTAGTTACTAAAATCTAATTTTCTCCTTAAATCCTTTATAAGTAATATATATAAGAGAAAACCATGCAAAAAAACAAGTCTTAAAAGGCAGCCCAAACAAGAAAAGAAAGGTCAGAAAACAATATATCCAAAAATTAGGCTAAAAATTTACTGGAAATTTCCTAATATTTCTATTTAATTATGAGTTAGAGTTTATATATATGTATAAAATAATGATTTAAAATTTACCAAATTCAATTTATGTGACTAAAGTATTGAGTCCCATTATATGATTGTTACCATAACATCACGTGAGAGACCTGCCACCCATCTCACATGAATTAAATTCATTAACTACTGAAGTCGGTCTCTAATATATTCTAATTTTTCTATGAGATGGGTAAGAGTCTAAGAGATCCAACATTTACATGATGGATGTGCTAGTAACACATCTCTGACTACTTGAACAAAATGTACGCTTTCATGAAAATATTTCTTATTACTGTAACTAGTTCACACATTCAACATTTCACTCTTTCAAATGAAATTTTTCTTGACAAGTACACAAAATTCAGTTTATAAGACCTGAATGCATACCCATCATATGAGCTTATCAGTATTGATCATTGTTTCCTCATTTTTATTCGAATGGGGTGGTCGCTCATACAATCTGCATTTTATTAATTCATGCATTTATACAATCAAATTTGGTATATAATAAACATCCAGAAAGAGATTGCAATAACTATACTTTAAAAATGTTACTCTACAATATATATTTTATTGAAATATTATTTTTTTAAAAATTTAAATTTTGAAATATGGGAGGAAATTAAAATCTACGGAGATTAAAACTTTCTTCCACGATTCTGTAATAGAGGAAATTGGACACTGTACTGCAAATTGAACGGGTCGAATTCTCCCAATTCAAAAAAAAATTGCCCTTAAATTGGTCAAACAACAATAAATTTGAAGTCGGGTCAATAATTCTTTATCAATCCACACGTGCATCATCTGTCAACGTTACGTTAATAGTTTTTTCAATAATTTAAGGTTTCAATAATTTGTCCATAATATATGATTTGATGAATGTTACGATAAAGTACTTTATGAGACGTAACGAGTCTAAATTCAAAATGTTTTTTTCAAACAATGAAAGAAAAAATATATATATTTACACATTTAGGAAAATAAGAGATTATTATTATTATCTTTTTTGTAGTTCCTCCATACTTCATGAAATAGGAAGTCAAAGTTCTTACCCACTTGAAGTACGGCTTACACATCTACATATATATATAGGTGTAAGACAATGATGTCTGTGAATAATATTTCTATAATAAAAATCTTCTCCATGTTGATATTCTTATATTTAAAAAGGAAACATTTTCTATCTTCTAGCATATATACATCTTCTCCATGTTGATATTCTTATATTTAAAAAGGAAACATTTTCTCTCTTCTAGCATATATACTTCAGTCCTTGAATCCATTTTAGGCTCAAGAAATGGGTTCAAAAAGTTCAGTTTCAGCTGTGCTTTATCTCACAGTAAACATTATCTGCTATGCTTTAGCCACTACAGGTAGACCCTTCATACCCAAATTCGAATTGAGTGCTTAGCCCTGGCACTAGTCTTTCAAACCCGAAACCGAATCCAATGCGAAACCCAAAACCGAATCCAATGTCTAGCCTTGTCACAAATAATCAATCACTAAGTTGCCCTAGAGATGCCCTAAAACTAGGTGTTTGTGGAAATTTACTTGGTGGGTTGATTGGAGTTTTCATAGGAAATCGTCCCACCGCAACATGCTGCACATTGCTTGCCGGGTTGGTGGACCTAGAGGCGGCAGTTTGCCTCTGCACTGCCATAAGAGCAAATGTGTTGGGCATTAATGTCAATGCTTCACTTTCACTCACTCTGCTTTTCAATGTTTGTGGAAGGACTCTCCCACCTGGTTACACATGTGCTTAATTCATTCACCATTATTCCTCTCTCTCTTCCTCATCTCTCCATCCAATATCATCTCCTTGCTTTATATATCAATCAAGCTAGCTATTACTATATATGTTTTGGTGAGGATTGTGCTTACTATAACATTTATATATGAATGATAAGAATTGTATTGTCCTATTGTTGTTGGCTGTTCATTTTCAATTTGCTGTGATGATGATAACTAAGATCTGTTTTTTTTTGTTTCATGAACAAAATTTCCTAATTTGGAAAATTAGAGCACCCATATTATGTTAGGAGAAACAAGTTTATAATTATTCATTTGCTACACTCGACATTGCATAACTTTTGCAATATTTCAAGAAATACACCAAAACCACTCACCAGGCATTTTTATAATTGAGTTTTGAAAAAATTGAATCAAGAAAATTCTTTTATAATTTTCAATTCTCTCTAAAAATAGAGAAGTTTTCTAAGTGACAAACCAAGTAAACTCAAATTCTCTCAAAATCTAAGAGGACATACACCAAAAAAAAAACTTTTGTACCAACAAAATTATCAGATTTCAATCATTCAATACATTGATCATCCATGTTTTTTGTGACTAGGAAGAATAATCCTCCAACTATCATGTAATGAAAAAGCATAATGTATACATGTGAGAATTCATGGATTGTTCCTTCTGTAGACTCCCGCAGAAAAGTATGCATGAGGGAGCATGACTTGCAAGTAGATGCATCAAACTATTCAACCACATGTCCATCCAACATTGTCCTCCTGCCAAACAATTACTGTTTTTTTTTTTTTTTTTTTGGGTAATTAAAACAATTACTATTTAAAGGGGCATTATCTTGTTAATTGAGAGTGTCAAGAGGGAAGGATTGGATTAAAACCTAACATTTGACACTTTTTCTCTATAGTGATCATTCTAATAATTTATGTTGAGAATCGATACGTACAGACTTACACGACAGCAGTAAAATTTTATATAATTTGACAAGATTGCCACCGTTCATGTTCACAATTTTCTTAAAATGGAAGAGTAAAAAATAAAAATTAAAAACATAATATTAGGATTTTCCTCCAAATCACTCTAATACCTTCAGTACCCCAAAAAAAAAAAAAAAAAAAATGGGAAAAATTTCATGTCCATATAGTCAGATATATAAAACTAATCAAGCTTCACAAACCCAACAATTTAGACATTAACAACTCGATTACCAAGCAATTCCAGTCAATTTTCCCCAAAATTCCTCAAGCCATGTCAAATGGTGACTACTGAATTCAACTTCTGAGGCATCGAGATCAATTATTATGACAACCTTGTTACAATTCCAATAATCTTTGTCGTTGAATATTTCAGTTGGGGATGTCATACTGTTGTTTCTTTATGTTTAGCCGTTAATGCTTTTGGATATTATATTATTCATCAATTGAATTTGCTTTAGGGGACACTACTCTTGAAATTGTTGCATCACTGTTTCTTGGTCCACCAACAGACAATCCTAAGTTACTTCGAACTGTTCAGTAACTTCTGAACTGTTAAAAAATATTAACAAAAGAAAATTCATTAAATTAACTAATCAGAATTTGAGATACCATTAGTCAAATAATACGACAAATAGTACACCTTCACCCCAAAACATCTTAGTTTTAGTCATATATATAATTTTTAAAGGGTCCCACCTATTCAAAATTTATCTTATTTGTATCAAAAATTATTATATTAAAAGAGAATACCTCTGGTGATACTCCCGAACTAACGTAAAAATATTAGATTTATCTTGATATATGGAAAATTGAGATTTTTTTTTTCTTTCATAATATAATATTAAAAAAATTTATATTTTTTTTATTGGTTTTGGTATCACGTGTAAGTAGCCTGTGTAATGTAGACTCTCTGGTATTGGAAGGCTGTTCTTACAAAAAATAGAAGAAAAAAATGGACCCAACAACCCCTTTTTTTTTCTCTTTTTGTAACAAGCAAGTGGTAGTGGCCTTAAAAACTCGAAAGGCTTATACACATGCTTAATTTTGGTGACTAGTCTTGAAAACTACACCAAACACGTACTTGGTGAAAAATGAGACCTTTAAATTGCCAAAAATGTTAGATATCTCTGTACACACACATATATATATGTATGTACATGCTAGATTTGTAAATAGCCCTGAAAACTGTACCAAACAGCAGTATAGTGAAAACTGAGATCCGAATCATTGATTGATGTAAATGACCAACATTGTTACACATACACACAGTGTTATGTTTGCTAACAATTTATGTGAACAAAACTCCATGTGCACAAAACAAGAGGACTGTAGATTGAAGTTTTCTACTATACTGTGAAAGATTTATATATGGCATGTGCTTCAAAAGCAAAATGTCAAACTCCATGTGAACAACAACTGTTCATCAGTACGTGTCAACTATATATGTGAAAAGCAAACGACCTAACTGATTCTAGATAAGCAGAAACAACTCAGCAAATTTGAGACTCATCATCTTTGACTAATCGATCTAGGGTTTACAACAATCAAAAACTAAGTCTTTTTGTTGTGAATAGGTGGTTTTCTTTGTGGTGGCTCATAGTCAGTCCCCACTAGGTCTTCATGAGCACTCTTATTGGTGGTGTATATAGCTTCATCATCTTTCTCATGAACCCCAAATTCTAGTACTGATCTTGCTTCCCATCTTGAGGTACCCTACATAAGCATCACACAACATGTAATTAATTCATCATATTTTCATTTTTACTTATTTCATTTAGCTTATAGATTTCTGACTACTTATTCTATAGTGCCCGGTAAATTTTGGTGTGGTAGTGATTTTCAACCGTGTCTATAGATGTAATGTATTGAAAATAACCTTGTTGAATTTTATTGTTATTATTTTTTTTTGGCCGAATTTTAAACTAAAACACCTATTACCCACAACATGCCCTAATAGGGCTCGATCAAACTCTCAACCTACCATTTGGAAAAAAGAGATCAAAATTTTTCTATACAGGCAAGGGACCCATATATATATATACACACACACATGTTCATGCATGTATTCATGAAATGATCGACCACTTTGCCTTGTCATTCTCACTTTGGACATAATGAAAGTGGTGGGTCATTGGGTGCTGATCACACACAACTCCCTGAACATTGACCCTCTAATTAAAACTACAAAAAAGGCCCTATATATACATGCAAATTACCTTCATTTTTGTTTCCTTGAGCAATGTCACGTGATCAGGAGAAGACTTGACAATCTCACTCCCTGCATGTTCCATCTCTATCAACAATAACAAACAATAATAATAAGACAATAGTTTATATTTGATTCTCCCAGCAATTATAGCATAATGGCATATGTACACACAGTGCTAGGTGATGTGGTGCCATGTGAGTCGTCTGATTAATGCTCGGACTCTCCACCTGTATATGCACAAACTTTTCTTGCTGTCACACTTCAGTATGTGCACTTGCAACTTTTTATCCTTTCCACTCATAATTAGATGATAATTAAACCAGTAATTATATAGGTTGTTTAGGCATTCATTAATTATCAGTGGGTCAAATATGAACCCTAATAATAATATTAAAGAACACAGAGAATGAAGTAATATAATAATTTCATCTTTTATACCAAAGAGGGGAAAAAAGAGAGTACAAGCGAATATGCAACTCTGATATTGTTATAGCTAGTTAGGCTAGCACTTGTTATATATATATATATATATATATATGTATCAAGTCCTTATAACATTCTCAGGCTCTGTGAGCTTAATTCCTATGTATATATTACTATTATAATGAGAGTACATGGATCTTAGGTATGAATTAAAGAGGAACTGGGAAAATAAAGGATGAGAAAATTAGGGAATTAGCATATAGATCGAAGGGGAATTAAGAAAAGATAAATTGCGGTTAATTATGAGAGGGTGTTCGTGTCCTCGGTTTAGAATAATCTGAGTAAATTCCAGAGTGTTCCACGTTGTTCTTGTGTGGTATGTTCCAAGAAACTGAAACAAGAGAATTGATTGGAATAACACCTGAAGTCACTTCTTTGGTGTATTTCATGTCCTTGTGAAGAACCTTTAATTCCTTTGGCCTTATTGCACTATCATGGCCCATGCCAATACTGATCATATCCTCATTTTGTGCTCCTTTTTTAGTTGAATCCATGTTGAGCTTAAACTTCTCTGCCACCTGTACCAAGTACCCAAACATACTTTATATATATAGATATATAGACACATACTAGCTTTTGTTTGTAATGAAAATAAAGAAAAATGAATAATATACAACAAATTAAACTCAATGCAAACAGGAGAGTAAAGAGAATTGAGGGGATATGTGCCTTGGTGCTACATCCCTAATGCAATGCCCTCAAAGTGCAACACCGTGAAATAATGATGTAATGTTATCACATAAGCGATATAAAGTTGTTGCATAAGTTATATATATGAAAAGATGTAAAAGCATATGACGCGGCAAAGGATGAAACCGCTCAGTTGAGAATCTGGATTCGAGTAAAGGAACTATTCTAAAGTGCACGCAGAGAGAGAGAGAGAGACCAACGTACCTTGCCTTGGAAAAGAACTTTTCTCCCAAAACCCCTTTTGTCAAGGACCTCAAGACTCTGAGCACTGCATGCATGCATGGGAAGGCACAAGAAGAGCATGAGGAGAGAATATATGGTGGACATGATGATCAGAGGAATGAGTACTCTTTTCATGAGTTAGTTAGATATATATATAGATATAGAGAGAGAGCTGCAAGACTATATCTGAAGAAAGGACATATATGTATGTGGCTGTGTTGGTGATATTAAAATAACTTATACTTGTAGTGAATGATTAATTAAGAAGAAGCATTTAATTAAGGTCCTGTAAGAGACTGTGCAATAGAACATGCAAGTAGTGAGCGATGAGACGTATGAAGAAGGAAAATACAGGTTAGGGACATAAGGCGACCTCCCTTGTCTCCTCCCAACCTCCACTTCAACAGTTATATAGTTGGGTCCCAATCCATGGACCCTTACAAAGAAAAAGGAGCAACATATATTTATATATATACAAATGGCTTGTTAAATCAATCTAGTTGATATTCAAGATACTGGATCTCAAGTGTCATTGCGTTATCATTATCATCGTTATCATTATCATCATTCTTGCATTTGTCCCTTGTATACATTTGTCAATTCGAGATTCATAATTTGTGTTAATATGGTACCAAAAAATATCAAGAGAAGTCTATTTTAACACCACCCCAACTGAGAAGTCTATTTACTACTGCATACAATTTTGCCATCTTCTTCCCTAATTGCAGCTAGCTACGGTTTCTTTGACGACAAATACATACAATCTCTATTTTTAGAAATAGAGTAAGTTTAACGTGCATTTGTTGTGACTTTATACCCTCAGCCATTGAATCGAGAATTTTCGCATTATACCCTCTTCGAATCAAACTACTGATCAAAAGGGTGATGCCTCTTTCCTAGGGATACTACTTGTAGAGTCGTAGTACACCGACAATGGTAAAAGTTGATGTATATAATAGTAAGACTAAATGCGTAATGCAAGGTGTTTAAGTCAAATTATCAAGATATATAAAGAGAGTTATTCAGAAATTAATGCCACAAAATGCTATAATGTGAATTAAAATAGTGCACAGTAAAAGTGTGTTAGGGAATTGAGAATTTGTGAGGAGACACTAAAAAAACAGAAAAGTCAAAAGTGAAAAAAGCAAAGTGTACAGGAGCTACAACCTGCTACTTTGTTTATAGCGATGATTTCCATTCCATGTATTGTTTGATTTCAACATTTCGTGCTTGTGGCTCCGTGTTTGTTGCTCTTGCCTACAACATGGTGGGGGTGTGTGTGATAGTAGTGTGTGTTCTAATCTAATCAGGTGAATAAAAGATAAAAAAGGAAACATATGAAACTATGATTGAGATTGACAATAGCTAGATTTGTTCATGACTCGCTTCTTCTGACTCATTTTCATTCTGCAAGTCTTTAATATGACTTAATTAATGGACAATTCAGACTTCACCCACTCTTTAACATCCATGATAATTATATATGTCAATCAGCTTGTATTGATCTCTCAAATTAATGATATGGAATTTCACAACATATTTTAGGTAAAAAATTGACATCTTCAATTAGTTTAATGTGAGAGTAAATTAATTATCATCATGTCATTTTTATCACAGTAACGTAATCATAATGTCAGTCTTCACTCGGAACTATCTCCTTCTATTTATATATACATATATGAAGAATATAGTGAGATACATCAGTCTGTTAATAAATCAAAATATAAATAAAATAAAAAATGGGCATCAATTCTAGAGGCACAGGGACCATAGTTGATTGCACGAAAAGACGGCATAACAAAGGAAGGATGCTTCGAGATTGGAGCCTGGCATTTGACAAGCCAACCGTTACCCAACTCCACTCCCTGTCTCGTAAAAGTCCGGCAATCTTTGTCCTCTCCGGCGCCATTGTCTCTACGACACCATCGGTCAGTCCCACAACACAACCCTAACGCTTCTCTATAATATGCACTCCATTAACATCCAAATATAGAAATCCAAATATAGGTGACATATATATATATATACACTATATATGTATGTATGTAGGAGTTAAAAGCTACACCATGGTCCATTTTTACAACCAAAATGAATGAGATGGGGTTTGAATTTGGAACAAAAATTATATACAAGGACGGACCAAGGACATACTTGGCTTCTCACTAGCTGAATACAACTTGGATCCTCCTCTTCTAGTTGTATCATCCTGACATTTATCAAACAAAAAACACACACACACCTAGGAACTTCTTCTTCTATTTGTATCGTCCTGATTTTTAACAAACGACAAACGCAAACACACAAGACAATTTGATGGCATGATGACACTAGTGTCGTCTGATAATTCTTCAAACAGCACAACTACAAGAACTGATTCTTGTCGGTCAACACCAACCAGCCACCATGAAGAATACCAGAAAATTACACCAGGAGTAGTCTGAAGCACAACTACAAGAAATGATTCTTGTCGGACAACACCAACCGACCACCATGAAGAATACCAGAAAATTACGCCAGGAGTACCAACAATGCAACGCTCTCATCCAATAGCTAATGCTAATTTCCATTATTAATAGTTCTTTCTACGACGCAACCAACCTCAAAACTACTAACAAGGGGCAATATCCTGTCAAAAAAACACTCATGGCCATGATTTTAGAAAGCTGTTGAGACCTGTTAACGGATAAAGGAAATGAAACTCACTCTCTTTGCCTGTATTGAAAATCCATTCTCCAACAACAATCTCTTCTGAAATCGGTGACAATGGAATCATGTACTTGAATACGTATAACAGACGGGGCATGATCATATTATTCACTCGTCTTCAAAACACAGAATACGTTTTACGTTTCTAAGATCACTGGTCTTGTCTCTACATATACTCCGAACCAAGAAAATCCATTTATACTAGGTACACAGTACACTAACTAAATTTAACCAAAAACAGAACTCATTCCCATTATCATCAAAGATATTTCACACCTTTTTATCAATAATTTACACACATATCCGAGCCTTAGTCCGCATTATAATTCATCTTTGAATCATGCTGACCTTGCTAGGATAAAAGCAAAAATAAGTAGAGAGACCAACTTGTACATTTATGCATATAGCAGACTTGCATACTTATTTTTTTCCCTAAAATATGATATAATTGCACACGTCTCTTCATTCACTACAGCTGGATTAGTAAGCCGCCTTTATGTACAGAGAATGAAGCTTATGAATATTAAGCATAGCACGGTAAAGAGAACAAACTGCACATTGATTATACAAGGACCTCCGGTGTGTCTCCTGACCTTCAAAATGCTTGGATCAGCCTCAAAATTCTCAACGTTAGAAAGAAAAGATAACATTACCGAGTCTCACATTTGAAGAAGATTATTCACAGTAACAGTAACAGAATTTGTTCGCTGCAAATCCTGCAAAAAAAAAATTTACACATTGGGATCTTGAATTAAACCGATTATGCTTTTTAATAACGATAATTCGAATATTTAAAGGCGGATGGAACAAGATTTAAATGCAGAATCCATCCTCCTAGATAGAAATGTGATCCAATAATAATGCACAACATGATACAACTATTCATAAGTCAATTTTGACTCCTGTAAATATAGAGATCATGAATGGCAAACACCTACATTTTGTCTCTATTTTAACAAAATATAAATCCAAGAAAAAACATGTTCAGGAAGGTTAATGTTCCATTGTTTACCATTAATAGACATTTAAAATTTTGTATATAGGAAAAATGTTATACAAAGTGAAACCAACCAAACTTCTTGTCAAAAGATGAACTAAAATAAGTTAAATACCAACCAACAGAGTTCCCAAAAAAAATGTGACAAATAAACTTCTTTTATGCAGGTGAAAGCATGTGAAACTATGGAAGCACTTTACTGGCCCCTTACTCAGCAATCAGCAGGATCAAAAGGTTGAGTTGACAAAATTTTATAAAAAAGATTTACCAAATTTTCACTAGTATGAAACCTTGAAAGTTGAAACTTCAAACATGATAGAATAACTCGAATCATAGCTATACCTGTAAAATTAATTCATCGGGAATGTGGGGAAGCACCTCTCGCACCGTCTCGGACATGGCAAGTAAGTTTTCTATGTTATCATTGGCAGAAAGAGAGGTAGTTCTCATACGTAAACCACCCGCATTTTGGGGATTTCTTGCAGAATCAGGAGGAGGAATTGGTGGACTGGATGATGTCCCAGCCTGAGAAGGATTCATTGGCCAAATGTTCCAAGCAGCATCTTCAAGGGAAGTCGGGGCATAGGTTTCTCCTACAGCTGCAAGATGCCTCATCATCATCTGAACTCTCCCTAATCCAACTGATCCGATAGCAGTAGATGGACCGGCTCCATCAACACCCTGGCCAGCCCAAGTATTCAACCAGCTCGGATCCAGTCCTGCCCCCCTACAGAGCAAACACAAAAGGGAAAGAAACCAAATAAATAAGCAAACTAAAAAGGAAAAGAAGCCAAATAAATAATAACAATAAAAAACACTATTTTGAACAATGATTGTAGTGAGAGGATACAGCAGGGTGTGCCTGGACTTGCTTAATATCAGCTAACTGGGAGTTTAAAATTACTTTGGAAACTAAATAGTGTTATTTTTTATTTTATTTGGATAGGTAGTTAAAAGTATGTGCTATTTTTGCGGCAAAACAGATGTCAGAAAAATCAGATATTTTTTTGTGTATCTTGAAATTTCATGTATCACACCATTAAAAAGTTGTTAGTAAAAGGTTCATTCAATGCTTCAAGGATTCTTTGTGTTTCATTAAAGAAAAAATTATGCACATACTGAAATAAGTTCTTCCTGTAAAATACAGAAGCAGGTTACTACTTTACGCAACTAAAAATATATGACAAAAATAGCTTGTGATGAAGCATTGTAAGAATTTAATGTGAATTTTTATGCCATGATATTAGACAAGTACTTTTTTCAGTAATAATCAACAAAGAGCGCTTCTCTTGAGCAACGTACACCAGCCAAGAGCAACGGTAAATAGATGAACTAAACCTAAAAGATGAAGAATGGAAGCAAACCTCCAACCACCACTTTCAAAAGGATTCTGTGTCTGGTTAGGGAACACGCCTGGCAAGCTATGGGCAGCAGGACTCTGCCAATCAAGTCGAGCACTAATTTGGCGAGCAAGTTGCTCATCAGTTGAAACTTCTGTGGTACGGGGGTTTGTTTCTTCTACAGGTGGTCTGCCCACAAAAAGTGGCTTTCGACAAGTGGGGCAAGAATAATTCTCACTTAAACCTTGATCCAACCTGGCAATAATACGTAATTTTCAGCAATATACTGAACTTAATACGATTGCAATTCACAGGCAAAGAGCACGTATAACAACCAATGCAGATCATACCAAGACCTCAAGCAAGCCAGGTGGAAAAGATGATTACAAGCTAGCTTCTTAGCCTTGGCCATTGGTTCCTGTCATCAGCCCGGTACATCAGATCAACCAAATCAAGGGAAAAATCAGGAGAACAAGTCGCGAAGAAATTATGCTTACCCTACAGATAGCACATTCATCATCAAATGCCTGTAGCTCTTCAGATTTCGCATCAGGAAGTGCACCATGAAGAGTTCCTAAAGCTATCCTCAATTTAATATATCCTCTAATACGCTTAACAATTGCACTTAACAAAGCCTGGTCATAATATTAACTGAACAATAAGTACAATGAAGGTGACAGGATTGTCACAATAACAGTGTTAAATGAATGGGGTAACATTACATTAAAAAGTAGAAAGAAGCATTTACACGTATGTTTAGGAAAAAGACTGCATCCACAAGATGGAATGCCATGCCATGAAGCCACCAAATATGCACGTAATGACCAAGTGCCATTAACAACGTCATCAGGTCTAGGAAAAACCCCAAATTCCTTATAAGAATGCCTTTCCATTCCGACAATGAACCTGCATCAACTCTCATTATTTAAAAGGATGAATTACTCAAAATCAAATCCACTCAATTAAGAATCATGATGAACCCCAGAATTAGCAGTAGCAGCAGCAACAATGAGGACCCCAGAATTAGCAGCAGCAACAACACACAAGAAAATATAGCAAACTAACAAGAATCGTGACCTTAGTCTAAGCAATACTAGCAAATAACACTGACAAGACCCACAAGCAACAAGTCTGTCAAATTTACAATTCTTTGGGGAATCTGCATTTTCGGACCCACCTCTGCTTGCAGAAAAGGGTGCATAGGATTGGCTCATAGAGTGTTCAGGAGCCAGACAGGCTAATTTTGTGTCCCTTATCATAAAGATTCAAATTTCAGGCAAACATTTGTCTATAGCTCATTAGTGTTTTTTTTTTTTTTTTTTTAAGTTAACAACTAGAAGACTAGACTGACATCAGCATGTAATTGTATTATGTCTCAAACAACTCAGATTTCCTAGGCCAACAATCATGTATCCCTATTTATTAAAATATATATTATATACCCATGCATGAGTTTCTTTTTATTTCAAATTAGGAAATAAGAGCTTCTAGTTCATGAATAGACAAGAAACATAAGATTAAGAACACATTCAAGAAATGTTCACAAGCTTAGCCAAGCCGAACTTAACTCTGCTCGGACAGCTTGTTTAATAAACAACCTGCATAATAAAGCTCGAGCTCACCGTTTATATTAAATTAGCGAGCCCATCAATCTAATTAACAATCGCTAGTTGTTCATTTATAGCTAGTCTCACCTGCAGCACTAAAATAATCCAATCACCTAAACTTTAGAAAAGATACAAAAATTAATACATGCATTTTCCTGATTTAACATAAATATTTGCCCCAAAGAGAAGTTTAACACACACACACAAAAGAAGAATAAGAAGAAGAAGACATCAATTAACAAGCTCATGCATGGCGCACACAAAAAAAAAATAATAATAATAATAATAAAATAATAAAAAATAAATGGGTGATCTGCATGCACCAAGAGCCTTTGTTCTTCCTCCACTTTTTGGCTATTTAATGTGCTTTAACTATTCATTCAAATTGAGCTTTACATCTCTCAAAAAAATAATTTTACAGTGCAGAGAGAGTATTGTGTTTCACAAAACAGATCATCTTCACAAGATCACAAAACAAAAAGCGAAAACAAATAATAAATAAAAAGGTAACAAACTTCATTCATGTTTTGGATGGAAAAAAAGTGAGGGAAAAGGACAATGGGACCAATAGGAGCATGATAAGCCACAATACCTAGTAACAGAACAAAAATCACATCAATGAATACATGTGAAGTTTTGAGGATTACCTGCTGCTGACATATCAACAAGTTTAGATCCTTGGCAATTTGTGTTGTTTTCTGCTGAGTGATGAAGCCATATATCGAGCAACTGAAATCCATGTACCAAGATAGCCTACAAATAAAATTTCCCAGATCTTGTCACCTGACTTTATTATATTCCAAATAGGGAATACCATAAGATTTACTAATAAATGAATCCATTAAGAAAGCTACCTGTAAGGTCTCAAAAGAAATACTGAGAGGCTCAAAGAATAACAAAATGAACATAGATGAAACTAATGTTCTAGAGATCCCCAGACACAGCCTTATCCTGTAAGCACTCAGTAAAAAACATATGTAGATAAGTAAAATAAGATTTGCAAAAAAAAAAAAAAAAAAAAGTTCCTGCATGTACATCAAACCATAAAATAATAATAATAATAAAAGTAGAATATGCTTCAAAACAACTAAAAGTTTAAGGATTATCATGTCTATCTTTTAAGATCAGGTGTCATTGTATTAAAAATTGGCGATAGCATATGAACTACCAACAGTAGAAAAGAATAAGTAATTGTTGTCACCACTATCATTGCTATCACTAGTGTAGCCACTGCCAACACCTCCACATCAACAGGACCTATTTCACCCGTTTTGAAGTACAGAACAACGATTAACACGTGTAAGGGGGAAAAAGGAGTAACAAAAAAAAGAAGAAGATGCTTTTGCTTATTAACAAACAAGTATATATTCATTTTTCAGTTACAAAATATTTGGCTTCACTGTTACAAATTAAAATTCCATTTATGGAAAAGTATATGCTTTCTGATTTTATAATAGTTTTTGACTGAATTACAGATCCATTGTATTCCCAAAATTTGTTGAACAGCATTTCCTGTTCTCAACACTATAAATGCAGGAAAGATAAAATTCCATAATCAAAGTTATTTAGAAAAGACTAGAGACATTAGACAATACCAGAGCAAGTCGATACATATGACGAACAATAGAACAGAATATACACGAAAATATGTCCAAGAAGTTGCAGTGGGAGATGCGTTCAAACGTTCAAGTCGATCTCTACCCAAAGCTTGAAACATCTGTACAATGCATATAAGACAGTTTTAGGATGTGTGATAAGCCACTTAGTTTCATCTATACATCTTAAAATATAATTCAGGCACCTTTAAGGAACAAACAACAATCAACCATGTTGTCCATAAGCCCACTTGAGATATTGTTGGCGGGACAACCAATGGAAGAAACGTCCCCTGTTCAACAGTTATCAATACATAAACAGAAATTACTGAATAGTAAATGTTGAAAAAACAGTAAGCACAAACATATATGGATAACTGTTAACATAGGCATACCATATGAATGTGTTGCTAAAAAAAAACCTACCCCTTTCAAACTTAACATAAATCAAAAAAATAAAATAAGCAAATTCAATTTTATTATAATGATATCACTCTTCTACTTCTTTTTTTACCCTTCTGAAGGTAGCTAACATATTGATATAATTTATCAAGCAAATTATGGTGTCTAACTTCTATAAACCTATGATACATAGACTCTTCAAAGTACATATGTCAGACAGTGTCCAACGCTCTTATTGGATAATTTACTCTCTGAGCTTCATATACCAACATGTATGTATTTGATAAGTAACTTTAAGCTTCCATATACATATATTCATGTAGAAGGGAACAATATTCTAAAAGTTTCCACCACAGACTTTTATATTTACAATATGAATAACCAATCAAAAGATATTTACGATGTATACATATAGGCAGATATGCCTTTACAAATAGTTGACTGGAGACAACATATCTACATGGATCTATGTAGCTGTTGGTTGCAAAAGGAATGGGAAAACATAAAGTCAGATTACAACAACCATTATCGAACACAAATCTGATACCAACTATGTGAAGTTAGAAGCACATTTTAGTCTACTTGCCACTGATTAATAACATTACCTTGTAAAGAACATAATTAATAAGACGTTCCACCAGTTTTCGACTTTCAGATGGATACAACTCCACGAAGAATATAGTCTGTATTTGGAGAACAAAAATCAGTCGGAAAATGTGCCTTATAAATAAGTTAACCAATAAAATGCTGAGTTTATCAAAATAAATCCTAACCAAACTTCTCAACAGCACCGCAAGCCCAAGCAGATGTTTTTCATTATTGTCAATTATAGAATAAATTGTTTATAATGAAGTCTCTTAGCCGAGTTGCTCTAAAAAAAAAATTGTTAAAGGTTCCATATTGTACTCTCAATATCAGAGATCAGAATGTATTACTGACCATGGGTAATTCAATAGAGAACCCAAGCACCTATTTTTCATTATTGTCAATTATAGAATAAATCATTTATAGTGAAGTCTCTTACATGAATTGGTCAAAAAAAAATGTTAAAGGTTCCATATTGCTACTCCAAATATCAGAGATGAGAATGTATCACTGACCATAGGTAATTCAATAGGTAATGTTTAAAAGCAATTTCTATCTCGGGCTAGCTTCAAATGGTCATGCAATCCAAACTTTCCAACGATGGTTCACAAAGTTGCAGAAATACTTCTGACAAGAAGTCGTGTCTGCGCCCAACATTATGTTGGACACAACACTCACTGGGACACTATTAGACACATTGAGAAAAACTGCACTAATCTAGAATTTTAAATTAAATCTTTTGTCTGTATGTTATGTAAGAGATGTAGAGCCTCCTATATTTTGTGTGGTTGCTTAGGCTATTTCTTTGTTGGTCAGAACTTTACTTGGGACTTGGAGGTTGGGAGGAGAGTGGGAAAGGCTTGGGAGGCTGCATCTTTATGTCTAATTCCCAACATTATATTGGATGCAACAATCACTACGACACACTTAGACACATAGGGACAAACTGCACTTGTCTAGAATTTTAAATTGAATCTTTTGTCCGCCTGTAATATGTGAGATGTAAAGGGCTAGACCAGTGCACGAGGCTCCCGCCACTAAGGTGTCTAGGGAGAGTTAAATTTAAGTAGCCTTACCATTGTGTTGCGCAAAGTTCCGCCCTAATGTGAGAGATGCTGAGCCTCCTATATTTTGTGTGGGCTGCTTAGGTTATTCATTCCACCCCTTCATATTTCATAATTGCCTTTCCAGAAGCTAACAATATTAATTTGCCGAAAGTATCCTACTCAATTGTTATGGCTATGCCCCTGTCCCTAGTGCCTAATTTTATTTGACAAAGGAAAAAGAAAAAGACTCTGGAAACATTTTAATGTAAGTTTGCTTCTCGGTGTTAAAATTCTCGCATTATAAAATAGAGTAAATTGATGGGTATGAATGATAGTCATAAACGAGTACCAGAATAAGGTTCTGCATAGCACATACATTAACGGTACAATTATTACAGCCTCTATGGTCATAAGGCAAATAAAATCCACATCAAGAAAGAAAACAAATATTGCCATGTAGGACACTGGCCAACTACTCTCCAGACAAGCTGCTACATTCAATATATGTGCTGCTTTGTGTGCCGCTCATGTATGAAAAATGATTAGCAACTTAAGTTAATAAAACCAGAGGACACGTACCTTAAGGCATAGAATGAGCAGAATAAATACATTGAGTGCACAATTGGCCAACAAAGCAATTGTGGTATAAGAACCCAGAAGCAACTCTAAGGCATGATCAGCGTTCTGAATATAATTAGAAATCCCACCAATTAATCCATCTGATATTAGTTTCTCAAGTGAAAGTTCCGTCCAACATTGAAGGCCAACAAAACTCAATGCTGTGCACACTGCAGAGATTGATAGGTAGCTCACACCCATAATATTTGTGAAAATTTTCTTTACCACAACAAAAATTCCAAATTTTCATGAGAACCAAATTAGCATGACCATTTTCCCACAAAACTTTTAGTGGAAACGAGCCGGAGAAGCACAGACTATGACAGGTTGTACAGCCTCCAGAATCAACACAATAAATTATCACACAAATGTCTGAAGATGAAATAAAGAAGCCTGCATCAAAAAAAAACAATAACGGTATCAATATAAACCAGTACACCAAAAACAAGCCTAAAATAATTTTTTACATGCATCATAAATATGTTCTTTCTCACAGAGTGTTAACCCAAAAAATGGATATAGAGAAGCACTCCATACCAAGGATGAAAATATTACCCCCATTACTGTCATGAATTTTCTACCTCTCTTTCTTATTGTCCTTGATGACTCTGAAGTCTCCATTAAACAAATCCCAGTTGCAACTTTTTATGGTGAGCTATATTAGTACTTTTTTTCACCATTTCTTTATCTGGACTTGAGGTCCAGTTAAACCACACACTACATACCATGTCTAAACTTAATCAATCTAGTCGCTTTTGTTTCAGGTGTTCTTCCCCTCACCCAAGCAAGACTTCAACAATGTGGGTCGTGTACCAATGTCCTTCTCACTGAGCTCCCCCAAACCTAAATCGCTGTATTGAGTCTAGACCCATACGTGCAGAGAAATCTTCTCTGTTCCAGGATAGTAGGTAAAAATGTAGCCAAAGAAACCTTCTACTTACAACAAAAAAGGCCCAATTTTAAATTAAACTTTCTTCATCAAATCAATTGGCCAAACAAAACATGAAAATTTCTCTGGTGGAAATATTTACAGTAAATTCAAAATAAGATACTCTGCGGACCGACAAAGTTCACACATAATTCTTCAGTTTATGATTACGAACAACCAAATTAAACAAAACAGACACAAAATTCATAAGACTAATCATTCATAAAGATGCTACGGAACCAAAAAAGAAAAGAAGGAATTCCTATAAAGCAAAATGAATTATAGGATGAAGAAAAAGCAAATTATATGTATGAATTTTTAACACATGTTTTTACTTTATTACATACTCATCATGTGCGCATATACAGATATTAATAAATTAAATGAAAGCAAACATAAGATGAAACGAATAACGAACCTGCTTAGATCTGAGCGTCGGCTTGAGGTTTCTGCAATCATCATCTACATTCATTCCATCTAGAGAGAGAAAGATAGAGAGAGAGATGGGGGCAGTTTTTGCGGGAAAGCTATAGGTGATGGGGTAAAATGCTAGGAAATTAGGAATGTAAGTATAAAATTGGAAATTGATTTTGTATTCCTAATATTTTGTCCCTGCCTTCACCGTCTCGTTTGGAATCGCTCGTTCATACTTAGTTCCTCTTATTTTAATTTTTCACTTTTTATTACAAATAATATACATAACCCAATGGTGTATAATTTTTTATTTTATTTTTTGGCCCTTTCTTTCTACCTAAGCTAATGCCAACATAATCACACTTTTTTTTTTTTCCTTTTTTTTTTTCCTTAAAGTACGTATATCTCCCTAAAAATACACCATCATTTAAATCAGAGGCGTGATTCAAAAACTAAGGTTTAAGTACTTATTTTTCGAATTCTTACCAACACCACTACACCCATAGTAACACAATCACATGTTGTTGTTGTTATTGATGATATTTTTTTTTTTTTTTTTTTTTTTGGCCGCTAATGCTCACATAATCACACTTTTTCGTTTTTTCTTTCTTTTTTAAAATACGTACATTCCCTAATAATACACGCATCATTTAAAATAGATATGTGATTCAAAAACTAAGCTTTAGGTACTTATTTCTGAATTCCTATCAACCACTGCACCCATAGCAACACAATCACACGTTTTTGTCTTTTAAGACAGACTCAACTATTCACATTAAAAAAAACATTGGATGGAGACTCCCATCATCAATTTTTCTTTTAATGTTAATTTATTAGATATGTTGTCTAGTCCACTTGAGTTGGAGTACTTTGTCAAACCCACGGTGGACAATGACCTTTCTTTAGTTTAAACAACAACTAACCAATTCAAAAGATGAGGGACCATCGTATTTATGAAATGACATTTTTAGGACATTGGCACTGTAGATATTGTTATCCTGATCAAATTTTGCAAGGACTTTGCCTCGGTGCTTGTGACGTCCCTAATTAATAAGAGAGAGTTTATGATATTAATACGTGTGAGCACTCTCTAAGTTCGTTGACGTATTTCAATAAGAATTATAAGCGTTAAAAAAAGAATATGCAAATCTACACGAGCATCGGCCATCGTAACATATGATATTAGAGTTAATCCCCAATTAAAAATGAGGGTGTATACACGTCCATATGTGTCAGATCATATTGTGTCTCAAGGGAGTAATTGTGACATCCCACATTGAAAAGTTACTAACATTTATCCCATTACTATGTAGACGCATTTTAACCAAAATCGTGAATGTTGATAGGAAAGTATATCTGTATAAAATGGAGAGCATGCACAAACTCATGCGAGTCAGCCCAACGAGAACGTACTAGTTCCAAAAAACAACTAAAAATATTTGTTAATCATTTTTCCCTAGCATTAGTTTATTCGTTTAAGTCTTTTATTTATTAGACTGTTCTAAAAAAACACACCCATGCACCCACAACAAAGTGATCAGATTTGATATTAACTGAATTAATGGCATATAAGTACTTTTATAAGGTCTGCAATTAAAAAATAATGAGGTTTAAAGGATAAATTTTAATGACATCTCCTCTAACTAAGCAAAATTACAGATACAGTATTATGTATTAAAAAATTAGTCACTATCCTTGATGTCCTTTTTTACTATTTCGTTAGAGATCAGGGCTGGTCAATGTCATTAGTTACTTAGATTAACATATTAACATAATAAATCGGTGGACCAAATATACATAGAATACTTTAGCGAATATTACAATTCAATTATTTCTGGATATCACACGATTGTACACATGTGCAAAATGCATAGTTTTGAATAGGGCACAACGTGGATCTCCTATTTCTTAGTTTATTTTTTATTTGCTTAAGAGTATTTTTTATTTTTTTTTACATCAAAATCGAGTTAAAGATGAGCATGTGATTGTTTGAATTTGTTTTCATAAAATCAGACAAATAGTTGAATTGGCCTTATATATAGTTTAAGAAAAAATTATTAGATTATCTACTCTTAGCACTTGTCTTCTAATAGACCCTTTCATTAACAAAAGTGAATTTAAAAATAGAGATGACAAAATACTCCGTCTGGTCGAGTAGTCATTACACTTGCCTCGTTTAAAATTACTAAGAAAATTCACGTGCGATGCACGTGATAAATTAATCATTAAATAATAATAATCATAACAATACAACCTTAGATATAATAATAATCATCATCATAATAATAATCATAATAATGTTCATGTATATGATTAAAAATCATTTAAAATCGTAAAAAAATAAATATGAAGTAATTAAAATAAAAATAATTATAATATATACAAACACAATTATTATAAAAATTAGGTCCACGACAATGACTATAAACTAGAGAATACATTAATAGAAATTTTAAAAAAATGAGTAGTTAGTGATTAATGAAACTCTTTGTTTGTAAGTAGAGTTTGTAAAATTTTAAAAATACCCTAATAATAATAACAAAAATATATACTGTGTATGAAATTTTTTAGAGTTATGATATTTCAGCTTAGCAATTAGGCTAAAACCTTCAAATTTTTAAGCGAACTTCTAAAAGTGGCAAGTTAACATGAATAGTTTAAATTGTGGCCATATAAATTACAATATTCAGTTTAAAAATAGTCTGTCAATCAACCACGACAATTAAAAATGGAAAAAGTGCAGAATGGTAATTAATAGAGCTTATTAATAGCTTAAAATAGAAAAAGTGCAGAATAGGTGAATCATTTTTTGGAAAAATTTCCACCGTAAAACTTTTTTGAAGCCTCTTGGAATAACCTTCTTTCACCTATACATTAGAATGATAATTAGCTGAAAATTCATGAAAATGAATTATGATTTGTAAGATAAAGTATTGACTATTGAGTATTCTAATTTTCAAATATAAACCCCATGATTAGAATGCTAATAAATTGTCATTGGGGTCAAACTCATCACTTAAAAGGTAATAGTGGATATTGTCATATAATCTATCTATCAAGAGCTTATTTACTTGAAAATTAGAAAAATACATGAAAATGATTTTTGGGAACATATTTCTTAGAATATTTTGAAAATTTCATGATTGTATATTTGAAACAAATTCCATGGGAAAAATAAGAAAAATTAAAACAATGGGAATTTTGGAATTAAACATGTTTTATAAGCATGCCAAACTCCAACAACTATATCATCTTGGTTTCAACAAAATATGAGATTTTATAAAACATGCAAACATAAAGTTAATTAATATTTATTTTCAAAACCCAGCTAATTTATAACTAATACTTCTATTTGCTAAATTCAGAGATGCTTACAAATGAAGCAGAATGATAACATTAAGTTTTTGATTGCTCACAAAGATCACAAAAGATATGGAAACACCCTCAAATATCTGCAAAGTAAAGAGGATTATTAGAAATTGCGCATAGAGAAAGTGCATGATTACTATGTCATGATTAGCAAGTATACATTTCTAAAATATATTATGAAGAGAGAGAGGGTGGCTAAAAACATGTCTTCTCCCCAACTGTGAATCACGTGCCTATATATTTTTTTTTTTAAAATCGAATTATTCAACCTCTGAGTAAATTTTGAAATTAAAATTACTGCAAGTGGGAAAATGAAATAGGTGCTAGAATAATTTTTTGCAATGCAAATGGAGAAAATGTATAAAAATATATATAAAAAGTAAAATTTGTTGAAGTTTAGTCAAGTTAGGCATTCATAACGGTTCTTAATTTAGTTTTAAAAAATTAAAATTCTTCTCCATTGGATGAACAATAAAGAGAGAAAATATATAAAAATATTTATATAAAATAAAATTTGTTGAAATTTAGTCAAGTTAGCATCCATATATATATGTTCTTAATTTAGTTTTTAAAAATTAAAATTTAGTATTAAGGAACTGAAAGGTTAACAAGTTATTAGACTATGCTTGCTTGCTTACTTGTGTGAAACCAATCATCATCGCTGCACTGCAAAATCAATAAAATAATAAAGCATTTAAACTCAATATAAAGTGTGTGATTATTTACTTAAATGTAAAAACATAAAATCTAACAATAATTCATATATAAGTTGTACAATAATCCATAACCACTCACTTATCTTGGTAAGTGAAATTACATAATCATCCTGTACACTATCAACATGGAGGAAAAAAGAAGAAGAAGAAGAAGAAGAAGAAGAAGAAGAGTAATAATAAAAACAAACAAGATATCATAATAGAAACTCAAAAAAAAAAAAAAAATTCAAATTCCATTTTTATGTTAGTAATGCCCTTACACTTTCTGCAACAAAATATTCTCTAGCATATTATACCATTAAATTCTTCAATATAAAACTGTCTCTGTAAAACTGTTCCATGTTTCATCATTCTTTCTTTTCCTCTAAAAAATAAACTACTTCAAAGATTAATGTGGAATTAAAATAGTGGAATTACACAATCATCCTATACACAATCAACATGGAGGAGAAAAAGAGTAATAATAAAAACAAACAAGATATTCTTAAACATTAGAACAATCATAATGGAAACTCATCAAAAAAAAAACAAATTCCATCTTTATGTTAGTATATTAGCAACATCAAATTCTTTAATACAAAATTGCCTCTCTAAAACTGTTCATTGTTTCATCATTCTTTCATTTCCTTTAAAAAATAAACTGCTTCAAAGATTAATGTGAAATAAAATATTCAAGAAATAAATTTAAAGCTACATAAGAGTAAAACTTGCCCTCATAATATGATAAAAGAAAATTTCAGGAAAAAAAAAAAAAAAAACAAAAAAAAACAAACTAATCCCAAACAAGACTTACGAACTTTCCATTCTTGAGCCATTCATCCTCTGAATTAGGCCCACCTGAATACTTCCCTATCTAAGAAGAAAGTAGGATTTTCTTGATCAAATTTCATTTTTTTTTTTTTTTTTCCTTTTTACTGTGAACAAAAAAAAAAATTGGAAACAAAAAACAAATCAAACCTCCACCGAAAGAAAAGTCATCCTCGATAGAAGTAGGAGCATCCAACACGTAATCCTAATATCCATCAAATTATTACTCAAAATAATGTAAAATGAGAGAGAGAGAGAGAGAGAGAGAGAGAGAGAGAGTTTAATTATGTGAAAAAGCTAGCTTACTGAAAATATATGGCCACTATGGACATGTGGTGTGATAACTTAAAACATTAAATTGGGGAGGTCACTTGTGGGTTGTGGCCTTTTCAAATTTCATATTTTAATTTAAAAAATAAATAGTTAAAAAAATGTAGGATTAGTTACCAAATGTTTACAGCTTTATTAATAATGAAATTTTAGTAATGGAATCATCAGCTAATTATTGAATGTGTATATATTAATAAAAGAAATAAATTAAAGTATATATATCAAATGAAAAAAAAAATGTTAAAATAATAAAAATTTAGTAATTGAGAGATAAGAGTTATGAATACGAACCATCAACTAAAAATGTAGGATTAGTTACCAAATGTTTATAGCTTTATTAATAGTGAAATTTTAGTAATGGAGAGATAGGAGCTATGAATATGAACCATCAGTTAATTATTGTATGTGTGTATATTAATAAAAGAAATAAATTAAAGTATATATTCAAATGAAAAAAAAAAAAAAAAAAAAAAAAATTGTTAAGAAATAGCTTACACTTTCATAAATATAATGAAAATTTAGTGATAGAGAGATAGGGGTTATGAATACGAACCATCAACTAATTATTTTATGTGTATATATTAATATATAAAAGTAATAAATTAAAGTATATATATCAAATGAAAAAAAATCCAAAATCTAAGAAATTCTATCTTTGGTTCAGTGTAGAAAATGAAATCAGAAATGAAAATGATATATTACCACTTTTCGATTAAAACAGTGAAAAAAAATCTCAAAAGGCACAAGTGTTAAATCATAATTAAAACCAATTGAATTGCATTTATTATGATTAAAAACCTATGAAGCACGGACACTCTTCCCAGGGGCCCCGTACCCGTGTCGGATACTTTTCTGACACCGACACCCATGTCCGAGACTCGAACACGTGTCCGACACTTCTGTAAAGTGTCCAAATATTATTTTTTATTGGACATGCGTGTCCGAGGCTCGGACACACGGTCCGACACTTCTGTGAGACAAAATTTATTTTCTCTTACTCCTCTCAGTCTCTCATTTTCTTCAATTATCTCTCTTCATGAACAATATATATATATATATATATATATATATATATATATATATATATAAGTTACATGAATAAAATTTTGTGAAAGATTAAAAATATATATGTTTATTCATATACATATTTTATTCATTATAGCTATATCTCTTCTGCACATCGTCGTTTGGAATTTGGATCAACTTTATTTTTCATTTATTTTTTGTTTTGTCTTATCCATATTTTTCTTATAACAGAGATGAAATTATTGAAATTGATTATGTTCTTTATTGTTGTTTTATTTATCTGTACAAGATTCTAGTAATTATATTTTGAATATATAATTATATATATATATATAATTTTATAGGCGTATCCCCGCCGTGTCTGTGTCCTATTTTTTTAAAATTTGTCGTGTCGCCGTATCCGTGTCGTGTCGTACCCGTGTCCCGTATCCGTGTCCGTGCTTCATAGTCAAAAACTATATTTAATCAAATAATAAATTGTATTAGAAAATATTTTGTACATTTTGAATCAAATCAAAAACCTTATTTTTATAATTTTAAAAAATATGAAAAAAGTTTAGAAATTCAAAAAATTCTTTACACTTTTAAAATAAAATAAAATAAAAATATTATTTTAGGTATAGATATATAACCAAAAAGATACAATTAACAAAATTATTTTATTTAACAAATATGAAAAATGTTTTTCAAAAAATTCTTTACATTTTTAGAATAAAAAATATATTATTTTAGGTATAAATATATGTAACAAAAAAAAGAAAAAAGAGAGAGAAATTCTATGTGTATATATTAATATATGAAAGCAATAAATTAAAGTATATATATAGTAATGGAGAGACAGGAGTTATGAATGCGAACCATCAATTAATTATTGTATGTGTATATATTAATATATGAAAGTAATAAATTAAAGTATATATATCAAATAAAAAAATCCAAAATGTTAAGAAATTCTCTACACTTTTAGAATAGTATAGATATAGATATAGATATAGATAGATAGATATAGATATTGTATATGTATATATTAATATATGAAAGTAATAAATTAAAGTATATATATCAAATAAAAAAATCCAAAATGTTAAGAAATTCTCTATACTTTTAGAATAGTATAGATATAGATAGATAGATAGATAGATATAGATATTGTATGTGTATATATTAATATATGAAAGTAATAAATTAAAGTATATATATCAAATAAAAAAATTCAAAATGTTAAGAAATTCTTTACATTTTTATAATAGTATAGATATATAGATATAAATATAGATTATGGGGTGATTAAATGATTTTGAGGGCTAGAATGGAGTTATAATTGAAAACCTATATGATTATAGTACGAAAATGGTGAAAAGAGCCTGATTAGTGTACCACTTAGGTTTCCATCAATTAGTGTGAACATGCTTTTTAATATAATTTTAACATCTTCGTTCGACTTTCCCATATCTCTTTTTATTGCCCGACTTGAATCGAGACATCTTCTTCATTTTACTTTACTTTTAACATCCATGACCGGCTTTCCCATGTCTCATTTTTATTGCTTGAAGCCTCTTCTTCATTGAGGCCCTCTTTTTGTATCTCCATTCTAATGCCCTGTTTATAGTTGCAGTTTACAATTTTATCCTTGTACCATGTTTTATATTCAATAAAATTATGTAAATATTAAGTAAATCATAGTTTATTATGCCGTCACTAAATATCGCTTTATATTATTTTTATTTGAAAACTTGTATATATTATTTAAATATTTCAATACTAATATTAAGTTTCAAATTCTATTTAAAAAGTTAACACTTATTTTTATTCATAGTTAAAATTTTATTTTATTATTTATTTTTATTGAATTTATAATACAATTACGAAACAATTTATAAAATTCGTCCCGCTCTATCCCGATGGGAGTGAGTAACCTTTAGGGTCTGCTACATTTAAAATTTGTTTTTCGACATTTTTAATTGTCAAGCTTTTCATGTAACAGCCAATTGAGTTTAAAAAGTTGAGTCCAATAAGAGAGAATAAATAGACAAATTACAGGATGAACAAGTCCTGACTCCCAATAAAAAAAATTCGTGTTTAACAACCCCAATTCGTAGATATATAAGGAGTTGAGTTCAAGTTTTATCAACAGTCACGCTCACAACTGTACCAGACCCTTCGAGAATCAAAGCCTCCCCTGTAAACCCTATATCGAACCCTCAGTCTTTTCTCCGGAGATTTGAACCTAGAAGAAGAAAATCGAAACAGTGATGGGAATTATAAAAAGCAGTTTCTCATTCATAGTCGGAACAGTGTGTGGAATATACATAGCTCAGAACTACAACGTGCCCAACATGCAGAAGCTTGCCAAAACTTGGATCTTTACGGCCAAGAACGTCGAAGAGAAGTACCGAAAGCCGAAGAAGAACGACGATGTTTAATCTACTCAAAAACAGGTTTCTTATTTGACCCATAATTTTAATTTAAATATTTTTTTATAATAATTTTCCTTGTTGGGTTTTACAAAATTGAGGGCTTTGTATCGGAAATCAAAGGAATTCAATTGTATTTGGTAGTAGGAGATTTCAGTAGATGCGGAATTTTGACATTAGCAAGCGATCTCTCTCCTTCCCACATAATATGTATCATGTACCTATTTAAAGTACATATGTATATGTTCGTTTACTGTTTATGAATTATATGGTGAAGAGGTCTGCAGCTTATAATTTAATTGGAAATGATACAAATTCATGGCTCAATTTGGATACTATGTGTTCAACTCAACAATTCTGAATGATTCAAGCACGTGAAATTGCTTTATGGATCACTTGCAATTTATAATTAACAAATGTTTTTTGCTAATTGAGACCCAGAATTACTATTGTGTTTGTGGCCTATGCATATTAACACATTAGTTATACTATTTAGTTGGTATCTTAAATATCCTTTTCGTTGCATTTGGGAGCACTGAATTGGCGCATTGGATTTGGAGTTGGCTCCACTTCCAAAATCCAAGGTGTCTATTCCGTGCTCCCAAACATAAAATTTTGTGATTACTCCTTTTCTTCCTCATTATTTTCATTCACTTGACCAACGCTCTTTGCTGGTGGTTTTCTTAGATTTTCAAAATTATCTCAACCTGGGGTTCTATATTTTTTTGTCTGACTCCATTTATTTATTTTATTATTTTTTTTCTGCTTCAAAGTTGTTGATTCTTGAAATAGTTTGTAACTTGGGGATCAAAAGGAGAATGAGGCCCATGTCAAATTGCCAAATCATACGAGAATTTTTTATAGATATGACATGATCCAATTATCAGAAGTGCACTCTATTAATAAGGTATATAGCTCTAAATTGGATTTCCTCATTCTCTATTATATTCTTTTTTATTCGTTATGTGTTATGGTCCGAGTTATTTTAAAGACAATTCCGCTTCTTCTGCTTTGAAACTTCCATGTGATTCAGCCATCACAACCGAATAAAGTTACATTGTATTCATGTTTCAACTTGGTTTTGATATCATTCAATATCTATTCGGGTTTTGATATGTAATAATAGCAAGTTGAAATATCTATTCAGTAGCTGCGATTGATCCCCCACCACTATCCCCAGGTTGGACCAGGGTTTAGTGGCTGGGTGGAAGTGTATATAGGGGCAACTGAAGGAAATTTTAGAGTTCGTAGGGTTCCAGGCAAGGAGACGCGTCACCTTTTATTGCCATTTGAGGGGTCTTAGCTTCATTTGAGGTGCTTCAAAGATGTATTTGTTTTTGGATGGTGATGTCCTTTTCAATTCATTTTTCTATCTCAGACTGAAGCAACCTGCCTTATTTTATAGGGGACCTAAGGATAGAGATGTATAAGGGGAGATATCCTAGATGGAACAGAGACTACCTCTTTCAAGGACGCAAACTCATTCTCACTAACAGCTCTTTGGGTAGTCTTTTTGCTTCTTATTTTTAGACAATTATTACGTACTTCTTTTGCTAGCAGGTTATGAAAATTGCAATGAAATGTATGAAGTTTGGTGGTTAATGAGTTGGTTAACTGATACATTGTGGAACTATATTCCTTCACAACTTGCATGTTTCCTGAACTTTTCAAAATTTCTTGGATGAAATTATTACGTTGACAGCCTCCATGCTCAAGTCAAAATGCAGGTTTCATTTTGTTAAATTTGCAATATTGGATGCTACGATAACATGGTTGATGTCTTCGATCATCTAAATGAAACCTGAATTTTAGCAAATTGGTTTATTCCAGGAAAAACACTATATTCGTTTCTAATATTAAAATTGCAAAATATCATAAGAAACATGAAGGTGAGGCTAGAAAAATAAAATACAGAACTTTTTCAACATGTTTTTCTTTAAGTGAAGGGGAAAAAAAAAGAAGGAAAAAATTAATGTTGTTTTAGATGGTCAATAGATATATCAAAAATGGCCTGTGTACATTAAGGCTGATAAAATGTTCTGTATTACTTGGATTTCCTATCAAGATGATGGAGATATCCCTTCTTGCATCCTACCATATAGCTAGGATCTTCACCGAGCAGACCTATCAGTTTAAGTTGGTTCCACAAATCAAATATGAGTCTCCTGTCATTGCTAATGCCGAGCTGTAAGAACACTCAGTTTCTAATTTGTTAGAGCCTCATGCACCACCGTAAATGGCTAAGAGGTTGAGTATAAGAATGTTTAATGTGAAGCTTTGGCTCTAGTAGACCCTAGCTCCTAAATGTCATTATAGTTCTGTGCGTGTGTGTGTGTGTGTGTGTGTTTTGGGTTGGTGGTGGTGGTTATCATTGAAAAATACTTCATTCTTTTATTTATTTATTTATTTTTTTTATGGTTGGAATTATGTCTATCTAATATTTTCTTTCATTGGGATGTTAGTTCGGTTGGTGTCTATTATCTCAGTTGGTTTCATAAGGCTAGAAAGTGAATGAGACTCAAGTCATGTGCAAAATGGAATTTGTAGATGGTTGATCTCCTTGAGCATTTTCCTGCATTTACCTGGTTTCAGCACACTACTATGTAACCGACTTCGTTATAATAAAATTTACATAAAAAACCCTAAGGTGTCCCGATTTTAAGATTTTCTCCTGCCAACAAGGCTTGGGACATGGATTCATTTTCAACTTTCTTATTGCTTAGAGTGATATATTGGTGTTGCTTTAACGGACATGGGGAGTTAAAACACATCTGGATTATTGCTTGTGAACAGTAAATACTATGTTAAATATATTCTACATTAGGTGCACATGAACCTCTTTGGGTTTCACGTATGAGCATTGCTCTAACGCCTATGTATACTGTAAGGAGACTTAGAAATGATTCTTAGCACCATTATTAGATGATTCTTGCATTCATTGTTTACACAATTTCCTATGTTCTATGTTCCTTTCTCATGTTTGTGACCTGGTCATGTGAACGTCTTAGGTTATGAAGCATGTTTTTCTTGGTCAAGAAAATTGTCCATTTCAGGTAACCAATTCCTCCCTCTTGAAGGCACAATACAACTTTTCATGCATGTCAATTGTCAATGGTAGGTTCACTGATGTGCTTAACAGCTGGTGCTCTTTGTAATCCACAGAATGGTTTAGCTAAGTCTTTATGCTAAAGGGACTTCTGCTGATATTCTTATCATGACAAAGGAGGATTCACTTTCGTTTTACAGCCAACTCATTTGTGTTCACTTCAGATACTAGTTTAGGATTTACCACTTCTATGTCCGACTTTCCAGACCATGTCTTACTGTTCTTTGTTTCTGATGGTCTACGTTCAGTTAGATCCTTTTGGTTGGGAGTTCCAAATCTTACTTAAGCTTGGATCTAGTACTTCCTTTTTAAAAGATGGGATCTAACTTTGATTAATATTTTACTATCCTTTTTTTTTTTTGGTTGCAATCCACTGAGTTATTAAGAAATGTAATATATCAGCATATCATAGAAAAGAAGAAAATAGAGTGGCCGGTCCATTCACATGTGATGAACGCAATGATGATGATGACGATGAAGGTGACCAGTTAAACTGGTTAATAGTATAATCACCCCCCACCCGAGTATGTGCCGCAGCCCCGCACCCTTCCTTCGCTCTACAGGCTACTAACTCGCCAGTAACGACACCCGCGTGGCCAAGTTTTGGGCCTTACACAAGATGGTGGTGTTAGGTTTTGTTGAGGTTGACAATGCTTAGTGTTTCAGGATGCTAAGTCTTGACAGCTAATGGTCCAATGTATAAGTGAATTATTGCTGTTTGCTATTGCTAACTTTAATTTATTGTTGCTTCTTGATATTGCTTACCTTGAATTATTGTTGCTTGTTGATATTGCTTACCTTCAATTGTCTGATTCTGACTGTGTGCTGCATTTTCAAAAAACATGCCCCAGGATCTTATTGTTAAAATGATTTGATTTGAATTTTATTGCAGATGGGTCCCAAAATTAAAAACTTCAAAGCTATTATGGTTTTGCCATGGTGGGTTCTATAGAACTCCTATTTATTTGTACAAATCTATTTTGTGATGCTATTAATTGCTTTTGCAGTAGTGGGCTCTATAAAATTCCAAAGTATTTGTATAAATGATTTTGTGATTTTACTTAAAAAAATATTGTTAAGGTGGTATTATCATAGCATTTGTAGTGTTATTCTCTAATGTTTAATTGATTTAGTTTCTAACCCAGTGGTACAGACCCTTTCAGTGTGGATAACAGATCTCTTATGTGGTGTGGCTACTAGTACTACTAGTAGGTCTCCAATTTTAAAAATCTATTGGCCCATAGAAACTCAACCATCCATTCAAATATTTAACGTAACGGTCCACCTAGCAATTAGTATAGGCTGTCTTATTTAACATATGACAAAGATTGCATTCATTTTTTCCTCATTGGTACTCTCTCTCTCTCTCTCTCTCTATATATATATACATATATAGCGTTTAGTGATAGATTTTTTTTTTTTTTTTTTTTAAGTTGGCACTAGGAACTCACCTAAGCAGGGCTCCTTCGGGTTAAGCTACAAACCTAGAGGTATAGAGCACCACCCTAAGGATACACCGGGTAAGTCGGAAAATTTAGAAAGCTTGGTAGGAGTCGAACACTGGCCGATTGGATGCCAGTCCCAAACCCCTACCATCACTGCCAAGCCCCCGGGGGCAGCGTTTAGTGATGATGATAATTTAAACGTGTAACAACAGAGGTACTGAGATGCTTTGACAATCAAAAAAAAAAACTGTGGAAGTGGAATAACCTCCGTGTGCTCTTTTTTCTTTTTTGGTAGGTGAAGCTTTCACTTGTTATTTTGTGATTGATATGTGGACTTTTGCTCTTTCGGCTTCAACATTCTGTTAGAAATTGTATTTGGTTTCACTTTCTTTAGTATAGATTCTGTTAAACTTGCTAATAATTGAATATGGAGCTCCATAATTTCTGTGTCACTAACAAAAGGGAATAAAGTTCAAATTTTGGTACTTTCCCATTATTGTCATCAATCTTTGTAGATGGGTAATCCTTCCAAAGGAGGGGAGGGGAGGGGATGGAAGGGGGTGGAGGGAAGATTCCTTTATTCGTTAGAAAGGAGAGGATAATAAGAGTAGTCATTCTTCCTCTCTTTACAAGGGAAAGAGAGGAAGACAAAGTGAGTATTATAAAACTTTAAAATTACAAAATTATTTTTCATAAATATAAGAATTATAAATAGGATTAGGTATAATGATAAAAATAACTTAAAATTTTTTTAAAATAATTTTAAATTTTAAATTTTTTCTTTCCTTCTCTCCTAACAAACGTGGTAAGTTGTTAGCTTCTTCTCTATTCTTTCATCTTACCGAACAAAAAAAGAGAATGACAAAGTCTATTTTCGTAAAGATGCTTCATCCATCTCATTTTCTCTCTGTTTCATCCAATTTTCTTTCTTTTTTTGCTTTATTTATTTGTTTATTTATTTATTGTGGGGTGATAAAAGAAGTCCCACTTGTGGACAATCTCTGCTGAGAACCTGTTCTGTTTAGACTTCTCTTTCAACCTCTCGATGTCACTCATCTTATCTTGCAACATGACAAGTTATGTTATGGATGTCAAAATCGTGAAAGCATAAACCAGTTGTCCCAAAGCTGAACTCTGTGTTAGCCATGCTTTGTTAAGCAACTGATGTCCAAGCAAAAGGTGTGTCTATTTCAATAAATAAAAGAAACTGGTCCCAAGCCATAAGGAAATTATTGTTCAACAATTGTGGGACCACCGCAGGACGTCATTCCATTGGAATAGTGGCAGAGCTAGGAATTTAAGTCCCCCACTCGTAGTAATCTCGTGACATGGGTGAGATTTAAAATCTTACTTGACGCATAAATTCGATATTTTCAATAATTTTGCTAACTCAAAAACTTTCACAATACACACTCAACAATCATCTATCCGGAAGCAATGCTTTATATACACATTCAACCAATGTGCATATACATGTATTACATATGTGTAAACCAAATGGCCCTCAATTTCACTTTCATACTTTGAATGGTGATGAAGGTAAAAAAAAAAATCGCCCTTTTCTGTCTTGAATAGCATATACTTTGCCCTTCTTCATCTGAAAATCCGAGGGGCTGTTTCAAGAGCTTGAAAACGCCTGGTTTTCACACACAGCATGATACAGGTCCTCTTTTATCACCTTTGAATTAAAAAAAAAAAATCACACTTCAAGCGCAGCTGCCGGAGATCTTGATGTGGGAGTTCCTTGTGACCTCGTCTCCTCAATCTTTGCAGTCACCTCGGCCACAACAAGCTTAGTCAGAAGCAATCCAGCTACTAGCGCCGCTGCCATCAGCATTGTGAAAACTGCATTCCAGCTCGAGGAAGAAATGTAACCTGTTATCAATGGTCCAATAGCTGCCCCAATAGAGCCTGTTCCGTCTATGATTGCTGTCACTGTTGCGAGAGCACGCGAATTGCCTCTCAGTGAGCTGTGTGTCCCGAGATCAGCTGAAACAGCTGTTGTTATAAGAGCATAAGGCCCATTGACAAACATGCCGGTGATTAACATGAGAATGATGTTTATAGACAGAGAAATGTTCCCATAGGTTCTGTACAAGAAGAGAGCTGGGATAGCACAGTACATGAAACTTGCAGCTGTTATGGCTCTGGCATTTAGATGATCGGAAATATGTCCAGCAAGGATACCTCCGACCACCCCTCCAACATCGAACAATGTAGATAAGTTACCAGCTGCCGTACTAGATAGATACTTGCCATCAATAGCTGCAACATGAGAGACATAACAGACGGGACTAAGAACGCGCTTCATAACTTGGAGAATAGGGGAAAAAAACAAATACATAAAACTAAAAGCAGAATAAATGAACTTAAAAACATTAATAGATAATCAGGAGGAACTGCCTCTCAGTTTCTCCTGATTATCTAGCTCCCATGATCAGCCTGTGCAGTCCACACTATGGAGAAACACAGAACAGAACAGACATTTACATCACGGAGATGGGATTCTACTGATTTTCAAATACAATTCCCACTTCTGTGTGTACTCAAAACTTGGACCTTGTAGCTGGTGTTCTATGGAAGACACAGATTTTGACGGTCCAAAAACTTTTTTTTTCCCGGCTTATAGGGACATCAATGATAGCTTTTTTACTGACATTAATCACAAGATATCAGAAGTGGAGGACAGGAGGAGTTAATCACCTGTGTGGCTAATGTAGAAAGGAAGCCAATAGAGAAATGTATAAGCAACCAATTTGGAGAAGAAGAGGCAAAGGGCAAAAGTAGTAACCCCAGGAATCTTCCATGCTTCTATGAATCCCACAGCTTTCTCCTTACTTTCTGTATCTGATTGCAACAAAGATTCTGTTATTCCGTCCCCACTTTTTTGGGGAGACTGCAATTCATCTTCGTCTCTATCAGCTCCAACGGTCTCAGGATTAACGGGCAACAAAACAAAAACCATCAAGCCTACGAAAGCAATCATGACACCAGGGACCACCATGGACCAACCCCATCCATACTGCAACAGAGCTGAAGCAATCAAAGAACCAGTGATGTTCCCGACGGATGTATGAGCATTCCATATACCCATTATGAGCCCTCTCTTTCTTTTCCCAAACCAGTTCCCCACCACGGCCACAACTGAAGGCCAACCAGTGGATTGGAACAAACCGGCAAACATTTGAACAATCAAGTAATAAGCGAAAACATGGACGTTTGCCCAGTACCCAACTCCAAAAAGGGAAGTGAACAAACCAGTTCCCACCATTCCCACTGTTAAAAATAACCTAAGATCCATTCTGTCACCCAATTGCCCAGAGAAGTACATTCCTGCAGCATAAAATGAAAGGAAAGCCACATCAATTTCACCAAGCAAGGCTGTGCCATCTGATCCGTTAAAGGGCGCCCAGCCACTTCCAAGGACCCTTAGATCTTTGCCTTCAACCGGTTCTTTAAAGTAAGCTCTTTGCCACAGGGAGAACTTCAAGCCAAAATCTGATGATTGTGGATCGAGTGCACTTTTCACAATGCTGGTAGTTTTTCGGGTAGCATGGTAGCTTGCGTATGCAATGAATGTTAAAATCAAGACAATGGTTTGGTGGGTTTTGAAAGAGAGTTTGGATCCTTTTATGTGCTCTAAGAATCGAATTCCGAGCGGCTTGCTATAATTCTCCTTTGGTGCCGGTTCTAACAATGAACCCATGTATAGATTCTTATTTTGAAAGCGAAAATAGGAAAAAAGGATCGAACTTCCTCTTAAAGATATAAGAAAGAGCAACTGAAAAGAAGAGAGGAAGAGAAAACAAGTGAGATATCAGATTACACAACCAAGGTCTAAGTTAGTTACTAGTATAGACAAGAGATTTAACAAGAAAATAGATAAATTTAGAATGAGAAATGACTAACAGTTTTGACTTTTAACCTTGATCATCCTTCAACACACAAGAGAGTAGAACTGGAAAATGTTTTAAGTATTATTCTAAGAATAAATTAATCAAAAACTAAATGCTTTAAATTCATTGGATAGAGTGTCGGTCAAGTTCAGTTTGATTTATTATTAATAAAATCAATTTTCACCTCCCTACAAAACCATCAAATTCTAGAGTACCTAAATAATTAGCTTCCATACAATTTTCAAAAATAGGATCAATCCAAGTGCAAATGATTTTTCCGATAGCAAGGTCAAGACTTGAGAACTACAGTCAAGCTATGTTTGGAAGCACCGAATTGGCATCTTATTAGAGCCTTAAATTGGTATCGGAATAAATTTAATTCAAAGGGAGCATCAAATTGACGTCTTAGATGTCTATTCTTAGATTGGAATCAGAGCAAATTTAGTTCAAGGGGAGCATCGAATTGACGTCTTAGATGTCTATTCTTAGATTGGAATCAAAGCAAACTATGTCCATACAATTTTCAAAAATAGGATCAATCCAAGTGCAAATGATTTTTCCGATAGCAAGGTCAAGACTTAAGGACTACAGTCAAGCTATGTTTGGAAGCACCGAATTGACATCTTATTAGAGTCTTAAATTGGTATAGGAATAAATTTAGTTCAAGGGGAGCATCGAATTGACGTCTTAGATGTCTATTCTTAGATTGGAATCAAAGCAAATTTACTTCAAGCTATGTTAGGGAATATCGAATTAGAATATGAGGAAATTTAGTTCAAAGTTTCGCAACATCAATGAAATTCAACTTCATTCTAAAAAAATTTCTACTTTCCTTCTGATTAAAATCGTGACAACATTAACAGACATATTATCAAGAGATTTCATATTAATTCGGACATGAACGCAAGCTAGTACGAAAAATGCAACACGATTAAAGCAACGAGAACATAAAATCGCTTACTTTTATTTGTATCAGCTCTAAATAACTGAAAATAAGTTTGTGCAAACAATTTACAGTGACAAGAATAAACGAAAATTTATCGCAATCCAACACAAACTCACGATTGTTTCAGCAAAAAGTACGCATATAGAAAATGAGAAGCTTACCTCGCTTAGCTGAATTGATTTAGATCGCTTGTTTCTCTCTCTAGAATGCTCTGTTTTTCTCTCTGGTTTCTCAGTTGCTTAACGAACACAAAAACGTCAAACACACTTTCAGCAACCGAATAAAAAAAGGCGACGTTCTTTAATGCAGAAGGTTATTATTTAATCAAATTGAATTTCCTATAATACCCTTGACCTTGCTTTAAATCACTAAATAGTAGATTTTGACTTCAATGGCAAAGTTCAGAACACGCGAGTTGACAAAAATGCTCCCAATTGTGAAATTGGGAGAAAACTTATTTTTTGTGAATAGTTGGTTGACCGAAATTCATTTGTTTGATGATTTATGATAATCTATTGACTCAAAATAATCAAACTTATTATTTATTGCACCGATATACATTCATAAAATCATAATCACCATCATCATTCTTGTGTTTATCCGGTATAAATAGAGCCGACCATTAGCATTCATAAAATCAACTAATAAATTTTGTATTGTATTATTATGTAATGTCAAGTAATTTTATGTCTAATGGTAAAAACTCACTTCACATCTTAAAAGTCAGAAGTTCGAATTTCTTTTAGGTCACATCTTACAATTAATTGTCCGATACACATGAGATGATGGGACTATCGTACTTAGTAATGAACTATTGAGCATATTTAGAGGTCAAACACCAATATAAAAGTAATTTTTATGTTTCATAAAAGTGGTTCTAATATTGATGAATTGAAACTCTTTATCTCTCCATTTGGACACACAGAGAAACCAAAGGACAAAATTTGTTAAATTAGAATCACTCCAAGGATCTCATTCTTGCTTGGATATCAATTCAAAGGGATTTCAATATAGCTGTCATTCACTTCAAAGTTCAAACAGCAGAAAAATCATTTTTACCGTCGGAATCATCAAGTTTTAAATCTAACGATTGCAAGCATGTCTAGTTGTTTCTCAACGCAAATGGAATAATATTAATATCGAACTTGATCTATTTTTTAATTTTTAATAATATATTTGAAGGTAAATTACACGACCTCTCGTGTAATTTTCTATAATTGCGAGGACGTCCAGGTTTATAAGGGCAATCCGGTGAATTCCAGAACAAAACATTCACATCACCATTGTAATAAGATCGTAATTATACAGCTTTAGAGGGCTATTATAGTAAAATCTCCGTTTCGGCTTGATCTTGATTTACAATTTAATAATTGTTAAAAAACACGTAAGTGGAATACCACAGAGAGTATATTCGTTTTTTTTTTTTTGCAAAGTATATTCGCATATCACAGTGCATATTCTCTCCAACAACTGTTGGACCTTCAAAATGCCACCTGGCATAGTTTCACGACGAGTTTTATCGAGTAGATATTGGGAAAATTTTATATATATATATTTAAAATGATACATATACTAATAGACAAATGAAATGATACGTGACTTGAAAACTGGGCTTAGAGAAAAAAAATGAAAAAGTACGTCATATATGCCATATAAAATAATTCTAGCTTCTTATCGCGGTGGGATAACGTAAGCCTGTGTGAATGGTTTATAAATTTGTAGGAAGTAATTTATAGAAATCAATTTTATGTATGAAAAACTAGCCTTAAAAGTAGGCTTGAAATTGAATAACAATAGCAAAATAAAATAAATATATAATTCAATTTTATTCTTATCTTAATTATTTGATATTGTGTAACTTCATTTTTTAAAAAAAATTGAAACATCATTCATACAGACACTTTTTTCAACTCAAACATTAACTAATCTTCTTTTTAAAAGTATGAGCCCCGTACTTAATATAAAAGTAACTTTAGTTGACCTTAACCCCTTATATTATAACTTTGATAATCTATTTAAAGAAAAAAAAAATTAATAATAAAATAATTTGTTTCCGTGTTATGTTTGCTTGTCTATATATATCGACAATCTTTGTTTGTGTTTAAACTTTTTTTCATTTAACGAAATGAAAAAAAGTTTGAACACAAGCAAAGCAGGCAAAGATTGTCGATACACGCTTAACGAAATAAAAAGAAATTTGAACACAAGCAAAGCAGTCAAAGATTGTCGATAGATATATATAAATATATACACACACACGCTTGGCATTAGAAAACATTTCATGAATGGAGAAGAGGTTCATAAACACGCTTGGCATTAGAAAACATTTCATGAATGGAGAAGAGGTTCATAAAGGGGAAAAGTCAATAAAAATGGGCAGAATTGTTTTGTTCAAGCATGGGTAGGTAGGGGAGTCGTTAGACCTCGACATTTCCTCCTTTTGCAGTCTTTTCGAATGACGTTCATATGAAGTGGAGCTAAAAAAATTATTCTATTTTTAGATTAAAGCTTGAGAAATTTATTTTAATTAGATACTACCAACCGCTTTCCATTTAGGGAACAGAAAGCAAAGATGTAAGAATTAAAGGGTAAATGTAAGAAACACATCTCTAAAGTATATCTTTCATAATATTTTTATCTTCTATTTAAAAAGAGTATAAAAAATACTCTTATTTTTTTAATTTATGCAAAAACACCCATAAATTAATATAATACCCATTTTATTTTTTTACTCTTTCAAAAATGCCCCTCAAGTGGCTTTTGAAACAAGCCCACACCCATCATCTCCTTCCCACAACACAATCCAGAGACCCAGAATCTGGTTCTCTACAAACAGTCCACTGGACACTCAAAATCCAACCCAATGTAGCCTATAATTTCATCTAATTCTTGTGTATTTTAAATTAACAAATGTATAACACAGAAATTTTATTTCCTTATTATTTCTTCTTCGCTTTATTTATTTCTATTTATTTCTCTCTTGATTCAATATTTCAATTCTCTCTGTTCATTTATATATATCACCCTCTCAGTTGTAAGTTTTTAGACAGTGATGAAGCTGCACAATTTGTTTTGATTTTGGGTTCATCAACAAGTATTTGAAGAATCCTTGCTCCAGTACTATGTTTCGACCATGGCTACAATTCTCATTCAATTGCTGCCATATCTATCTATCTATCTATCTATCTATCTATATATATATTTATTTATTTATATATGTATCAAGACATGTATTCTGATCTAAGCTAATTGAAATAAACATAGCAACAATAATTCATATGCACTGATATATGTATTAGATCTTCTATTCAGATCTGTAAGTAGAAAGAGAAAGATCTTGCGAGAGATAGTGTATGTGGAGCGGAAACAGGGCTTGAAACTCTGTTCTTGGTTTTGGGTCACTAGTGTTGGGATTTATATGCCCTGGCATAGCAAATTCCTATATGGATTATAGTGACATATGTTCCTGACATATCTGAAATATTTATGATTTATATAATTGGTGAATTCAATGTATTATGTTTCGATTCACTATGAAATTGATAGTGTCCATGTAATTACAATAAATATTTATATATATGTATGTGATAACAATCAATGCATGATATATAAATAGTAATTATAAATTGTTCATAGTCGGTAATTATGGATAGACTCATAATTAATTAAGACTTGAACTGGATCCGCGTTAGGTTGAGATATATTGCGAGAGCCGTCGTATGCAATTACTCCCTATCACCGTCATGGCATTTGACTCTTAAGCATGAGAAAAGTATAGACTCTTTTATTAATTAATAATTACTTTGATTTATTCGGCGGATTCTTCGGGATCCTTAGACCGACACTTTGGGTAGTTATGTAATTAATAGTTAGAGGGTTATATTTTCAATATTTGCATCATTGCTACTTGTATTTATTTTGTATTGATTATGGTTGATCACAAAGTAAATTCGAAGGCCTTCGTGTGTTTTTAGACAAAATGATTTATTATATATTTATTTATTTAAATTATTATTTTTGTCAAACAAATGTTTTATTGTGATCGAGCCAGAAATAATCAAAGGTACCAAAATAAATATATTAATTAAGTAGTCGGATTGATGGCTATATTTATCCGATAACTAATTATGCATAGAGGGGTCAAAGTGCAATATTGACTTAGAGGTTATTTATTATTTAATTGGAGTTCAATTAATTTCCTTTAGTGGAGTAAAAATTAATTTATGAATTAATTGAATTGGGTCCATGGACCGGGCTAATTATTAATTCATTGTAGCCAATAAAATAATAGGCCCAATGGATTCTCACTCATAGCCCAACTTGATATTGGAATCATATTAGATTTGAAACATATGAATTAGAGATGGAGAAGGATTTGTTGTTTCCTTTTCTTTATTTTTATGTTGCCTATAAATATACATGGTCTATGTATATTTTAGGGTGTGATTTTTATGAGAAGGAAAAAGGAATAAATTTTCTCTCTCTAGAAAATTAGGGTTTATGGTCTCATCTAATAGAGGCTCCCACAAGCCTAGTTTTCCAAGGTCATTCATGGGGGCATATGAGTGATTCCTAAAGGCAAAATAATTACCAAGAAAATGGAGATCCAAGGAGAAGGCATCTTGTTAAGGGATCTACAATAAATGAGAACATTCACTTTAGAGGAAAATTTTAAAGGTTTACTCAGACCTTTGATGTAAGTATTCAATCTGTTAATTGAATGATACATCATATTTTTATTTTTGCATAAAACTTGTCTCTATGTGATGAATCAAGATTTATGAATCAAAATCCCTCGAAAAGTTTTTAAAACTTGCACGCTTCCCAACAACTAGCACACAACAGTGTTCCGAGCACACAGCCGTCCACAGTTCACCACCGAGCCCCCTCGAGCTCGCCGCTGCCTCCATCCACAACCGAGCTTCTTCTTCACAGCCGAGCCATCCTGGCGAGCCCACCGCCGCCATCATCCGAGGCCGAGCCATTTAGCTGAGCTCACTGCCGTAGTTCCTCATCACTGCCATCACGTCATCGCCGTCACCGCCATTACGCCGCATGCCGCCCCACTCTGTTTCTTGCTCTCTGTCGCTTCATCAACCCACCTTGATTCTCGGTTCTTCAAATCCTCTGACCCCATCTATATATATATATATATATATATATATATATACATACACACACACACATATATATCTATATATAACCGTCTCCACTGGCGTAGTTTTCCTTGCCCACTGGAACAGTCTCTTAGCTCACCGGTTTTAATAGACAAATCCTTTCTAGTCCTTTCACAAAATATTATTTTTTTATATATATTATAAAATGTGTTGTTAAGGGCATTATTTTTTTATATATATTATAAAATGTGTTATATTGGAGGGGTGCAATATGCACGATAACCATACTATAAGGGTGTTTTTTTGCACATGACCCAAGAATGAAAGTACCAAGCTTAATTTAGATTGAGATTGGATGAGAATTGAGATTATCATAGATATAATTTAGGAGATTAGTGTAACCCACAAGGTTAACATATGAAAAATAAGTTTGATTTGATGATTACGAAAATTTTATGCCTCAATCATATAAAAATTGTGGGGTTTGAACCCTTATACATTATTAGGACACTCGGTAATGTTCTCTAAATTAATATATAATATATTTTGAACAATACTTGCTTATTGAGTAGAAATTTCATACTTATTACTTATGTGGCGCGATAATATAGTGATAAGTGTCCCTCCAATATAAAATAAAAAATAAAATATTTGAAAAGTTATTTGGATTAAATCCAATAAAATCTGAATTAAATACTAATTTGATTATTTCTTTTTCTCATAAAATCTGAATCAAACCCAAAAAATTCATGTAGAAGGAATTGGATTAAGTTTCTTTCTTCTTTTTTTTAATGATGGTGACAATTGAGTTTAATTGTAAACCTAGCCAAAGAAAGTATTTAGTCATGATTTGGTAAAAAAAATAAAATCTATTTTTTTAAGAATTCGTTGATTAATTATAAGAAAATCATAGATTCATATTTATTTTCACCTGCCGGACAAGACCCCATTAACAAGTGCAAGCATCTACCTTTACACAAACAATTAGGTTTTTCTTTTTTCTATTTCTTTCCTTGTCAACAAGAAGGCAACGAAGGGTATTTGATTTCAGCAGCATACTTGTAGTTGTGATTCCTTAGAGTTTAGGGATTAGGGCAATGGAGTAGCATGAGAAATAGATAATCAGATATGGCTTTGATTTGGATTTAACCCAAATAACTTCTTAAATTTTTTATTAATTTTTTTTTTTTTTTACATTGTAGGGACACTTGTCACTCTATTATTATACCATATCAATGGTAAACATGAACTTACTACTCACCGGTGAATAAGCAAGTATTATTCATATATTTTTATCTTCACAGAGCAAAGAGAAAATGACTCGAACAAAGGACACGCCAACTTAGAGAACCGGGGACTCTCAACTACTACTACTACTACTAATTAACGAGTCATCATTTGCATAATACGTATATTTTATGGTGTGGAACCTGGACCAATTAAGTCGACTCGGTTACCTTTTATTGGGCTACACCAAGTAAAGCAGTTATGGGCTTTCTGCAATAAAAAACTTGTAGTTAGTTGTAGGTGTTGTGCTGCAGTAAGTTATGTGGGCGCTGGGGATAAGGATTTTATAAGAATAGGGCCAGCAAGCCCAGCACAGCCTGGGCTCAATCAAGAAGACCCAGTAATAATTGTACACTATCTATAAAATAAATTGTTCAATCGAATTCAGGCAAAATAATTAAGGTTTTGGTTGAAACACTCATTGGATAATTGGTTAGTGATATGAATCTGATAACCTATTAATTAAATAAATCAAATATGAATTATAGTAAATTCATATCTTAATTATCTACTTGTATTTTTTTAATTATTATTATTTGTTAATTTCTTTTAATATTGTTTATTAACAAATATATAATTTTTTTTCTTTTTCGAATGAGTAGATCAGATATACTCGAATACTCTAAGGGGGCGAAGGATAACCCCGAAAAAACGACGGAATCTAATGTGGCCAAGTCATGTCAGATTCTTTAAAATCTCTTGCGTGTGAAGAGTTAAAGAGCCATTACGTGCTAAGCTCACCTCCAAAAATAAATTGAATAAAAAAATTGTTTGAGAAGAATACGAGGAAGGTAATGGAGCCATGGACACTATGAAGATGACTGGAAAAATGTGGGTATATATATATATATACACACACACACACACAATTACATATATGTTGGTAATAGGTCATAAATATTGAAAGATTTTTTTTTTTTTCTACAAATTTTAGATTTAGATATTACTCAATTATTTAATTTTAAGAATTACACGATCATCTTGTATTCGAATCACGTGCAAAAATTCGGGACGGGATTGGCTTTCTCTCTATCTAGGGTTTTGAATCAGTGTTCTTCTCCAAGAACAATTCAATTGGTACAGTGAGTTAATTTGATATATCTATTAAGTGTAAATTCTAAAATATACCGATTATGAAAAAAAAAAAAAAAATTTAAAATATACTTACATAACAAGATAAAAATAAGTCCATTTCTAAGTTTTCCAATATTCTTTTTCACAATATACAATCACCTTCCTACCTTCCTTTTATTTATTTATTTCTTTTACCTACACATAATGGGCTATTTTGCCCAGGGTGAGAATCTGATGTAACCAACCCCCATAAATTCGGTAATTAATTCGGAGAATACCTTTGATCCTCCAATCACTGCTCATACACAAAACGGATGTGGATTCAATTATATTCTATAAAGTAATTGCCAATTGGCCCGTTAATAGAACCGATTCTTTAAGAGATTTTGGATCCGGTCACCCGATCCATTTACAGGTCTAGTTACCAACTGAAAAAGAGCACCGGAGAAAACAAACACAAATCCACTCAACTGACCCTCCAAGAGAGAGAAAAATATATACGTATATATATATAATATGAAATAGAAAAACGAGAGTGATCGGTGAAGATGTTGGTGGATCTGGGATCGTTCTCGGACGAGAAGCTCGACCCCAAGAAATGGATCAATGCAGCATGCCAATCCCGCCACCCGCAGGACCCATTGGAGCACCACCTGGTGGATCTGGAAATGAAGCTGCAGATGGTCTCCGAGGAGATCGCCGCCTCCCTCGAGGAGCAGAGCGCCGCCGCCCTCCTCCGCGTCCCCCGCGCCACACGCGACGTCGTCCGCCTCCGCGACGACGCCGTCTCCCTCCGCAATTCCGTCGCCACAATCCTCCTCAAGCTCAAAAAGGTAGGTACCACTATTGGAAACATACATATATGATTGTATATGATTTTATCTGTTTAAGTAAAGGGTTTTCATTATTGGATTACATTTCTTTTTTCTAAGCTCTATTTCCCACCCTCTGTGTGTGTCTCTTCACACATATATGTGTATGTATATATTATATGTGATTATACTACAATTGTGCAGTAGATGCGGAAAGAAAGACTGGAACTGTACTACCCCTGATTGGAACTTTTTCTTTATAGCTGAATTGTTTTTTTATTTCCTATTGAAGGCAGAGGGATCATCAGCAGAATCTATAGCAACCCTTGCTAAAGTTGATACTGTTAAGAGTAGAATGGAAGGTGCATATGAGACATTGCAGGTGCTAATTGATAGTATAGTACTTACTGTTTCTTTTTGGTGGTTTTTATCAAAAAAATTTAAGGGATTGTGCTTATTGTGGGTATTAATTTATGTATTTCAATTCATAAACAGGAAGCTGCTGGATTAACTCAATTAAGTTCAACTGTGGAGGATGTCTTTGCCAGTGGTGATCTTCCTCGAGCTGCCGAAACCTTAGCCAAAATGCAGCGTTGCTTGGCGGCTGTTGGCGAGGTAATTTTTTTAATTTGACTGCTTTTATACCATGAACAATGCTTCTTGTGTGTGTGTGTGTGTGTGTGTGTATTCGTGAATTGAGTTATTCGGATCTCTGCATTTCAGGTTGCAGAATTTGCTAATGTCAAGAAGCAGTTGGAAGTCTTGGAGGACAGGCTAGACGCGATGGTTCAGCCTCGTTTGACAGATGCTTTATCCAATCGCAAGGTTACATATTATTTAAAATTTGTTTTGCTATTGTTTATGCATTACATGCAGCCACTCAATATTTGTGTTTATTTCGTGTATGCATGGTTAGATGTTTCTTTAATAAAAACTTACTATGTTCCTGTTATCTAGGTTGATATTGCTCAAGATTTGCGAGGAATTCTTATTAAGATTGGGAGAAAAAAGTCTTTGGAGCAGCAGTATACCAAAGTTCATCTAAAGCCTATAAAGCAGCTCTGGGAAGATTTTGACTCAAGACAACGAGCTAATAAGCTTGCAAGTGAAAGAAACGAGTTTGAAAGGATGTCAAGAAATCATGGTTTTCAATCAGGCTCGCCTGCTGTTTCATTCTTCAGTTGGTTGCCGAGCTTCTATGATGAATTGCTACTTTATTTAGAACAAGAATGGAAATGGTATTTGCCAGATCTTTAGTTCATGCTTTCACATTCCCATTGTTGTTTTTTCAAAAGAATAGAGACAGGGGCAACTAGCAAGACGCTTTACATGCTAACCATCACCTGTCGGCAGCCATTGAATGTCCAAAACAAGTGAATAATGTCAAGAATTAGAGTCTGTTATAGAGAACAAAGCCTTGGTAATTGAGGATAGCTTTTTAAAAATGGTCATTTGCCCCCTTTGAGCCAGTTATTTTAATCGCCATGGAATATAAATTGGTTCATTTTCTCTCCTGTGTTTAAATGGGAATATCAATTTTGCTACTAAAACAGTTTATAGGTCTGCATTTCTTTATTTTATCTTGTCATAAGTGTGATTCTTACGGAATTCGTTAATAGATAGCACATTTTAAGCATTTGCTAATTGGTTGGTACTGGGATCTGTGGCAGCATATTTTCAAGGTTTTTAACACTCTCCAGGCTTCACCAAGAGGACTTGTGTTCTCAGCTCTTTTTTTTCCTATCTTCTTTAAGATTATAAGAAATAAGAGCTTTATGTGAATTCTCTGAAAACTTGCATTTCATGTATCTTGGCGAAAAATACACTGCATGAAATAAGGTGCCGTACAACATCTGCCATAGATTATTCTGTTTAGCATAAAATAAGCTTCAAACAAACTAATATATCTGCAAACGCATTAACTTGTAAAGTATCAGTAATTTATTCATCCTTCTATCCCTTTCCTGCATGACCTGCATCGGAACTGCATATTATCTTATCTGAGGAGGCATGTAGATCTTAGATCTTCTGGAAGTAAAATAGTTGCTTCAACCAATTTTTATGTATGGCCTAGGCCTATGTCTAAAAGAAAATATTATCACTACCTTCTCTGAAAAGTAATTTGGTTTTCTCTCCTTGAGAGATAAATTGATCAACAAAGAAATAATATCTGAATATATTATCTAAGATTTGCCTTTTCTCACTTATGCAGATTACTCATCTCACTTTTACTTTGTCTGCAGGTGTATGATTGCTTTTCCAGATGATTATAGAACTCTGGTTCCAAAGCTTCTTACTGAGACAATGACAACTGTAGGTCCAAGTTTTGTATCCCACATCAATCTGGCAACCGGAGATGTTGTCCCTGAAACAAAAGCATTGGCTAAAGGTTGAATTTTGAACATCTTCTGGAGTTGCATATTACTTCTCCGGAGGCGCCGTGGTGGTATCGGACACGCCTAGGATACGCCCAGACATGTGTCTGATACTCCGGAGAAGTATCCGATTTTTTTTAAATAAATTTTGAATTTCGGATATGGCTTGGATACACCGAGGATACTTTTGGGATACGGCGGTGTTCATATTATAATATTTAAAAATTTGTAGGTTAAAAAATGGGGTTCAAATTATAATAAAACAAAAATGCATTTAAAACACCAAAATTACCAAATCGATCCACATGATTGTTCTTAATTCTCATCCCACAGTTGTTTTTTTTAACATCAATTATTTATTTATGCTTAATTGCTCATATATCTGATCTGTTCTTACATCTTTTTTGGTTTTTCAATTCTAAAGTTAGGTTTTTCTTCTTCTATGTTTTTCCTACTCTTACTTTGTTAGAACTTCTCCTTGTTTATTTTCTTTACTTGCTTCTTTATTTATGAACATGATAATTAGTGCATTTAGATTTTCATAATATTACAGGAAACGGATAAAAAAAAGTATTTTTTGTATATAAAAAATTATTTTTCTTAAAAAAAATTGCCGTATCCCACCATACCCATATCCTGTTTTTTTGAGATTGCCGTAACCCTGTGTCCATATCGTACACGTGTCCTGTGTCCGTGCTTCTTAGCTGCTGCCCCTCTTGAGCCCATTTAAGAAGTGTAGCTAATTTAAGGAGATTATCTATTTAGGTCTCACAATGTCTATGATATGCAGGCTTTTAAGAAATGCAAGCTTTCATGCCCTACTAGAAACAATGAATTCACCAAATTAATAACAGTTTATCTACTGGAGGAATTCTTTCTACATTTATTCTGCAACCAGCTGTTGAAGTGGGGGTAAAAGCAAGATAACTTTTCTCTGTAAATATAACCAAAGAGGAAAAACAATAGACTGAAACAATGAGTTTGTGGAATATTTAGAAGATGAGTCAATATCTCCTCTAAGAACCATCTCTTCATTTATTTCCAACCTGAGATGGTCCATTGGGGGAGAACTTCTTTTTGTTACAGGACTTGTTTTAATTATTTTTTACTTTGTTCTTTTCAAAGTCCTTTTATCTATGATGGGGCCTGGGGTCATGGTTACTAGCACATAACTTTTCAAAAAAAAAAACTTGGAAAGAGGTTCAGCAGACTGAAACATTTCTGAGGTCAAGTATTGAAAGCATTTTCCGCTTCACTTATCAAAAAAAAAGTATTGACAGCATTTTCTGCTTCACTGGATAAGTTTATTAAACCTGGATGTGATAGAAGGACAGTTACTGTTATGCAGCTGTCTCTCCTCCAATTATATGATGCTTTATGGACAGTTGCTTCTTAGAATATCTCCATGCTTACATTCAGCGCTAGCACATATTTAAGATCACTATCTTAATCAATTTATTTATTTATTTTCTTTTCTACTTGCTTCTAAGAATGGTAAGACTAACATTACTCCAGCTGTTGTGTGATTTTATGTCTGTTTAATGTCTACTGAGTACTGGAGTTGTTGTTGTGACTGGTCATTTTTCATTTGAGGAGCAGTTTCCAATAATCAATTCTTAGGTTCCACGTTTGCAATTTCAGGTATAGTAGATATCTTATCTGGGGATATTCCAAAAGGTGTCAAAATTCATACCAAGCATGTTGAGGCACTAATTGAGTTGCACAATATGACGGGGACCTTTGCGAGGAATATTCAGCACCTGTTTTCAGAATCTGAACTTCGGAATTTATTGGATACATTAAAGGCAGTGTATTCTCCTTATGAATCTTTAAAAAAGAGGTAAGGATGCAATTCTAGATATATATAGTGTTATAATTCAGGAAAAATATAAATATATGTAGTGTTATAAGTATGTATATTAGTTTATAACTGACACAGTAATTTGTCCAATTAGTTATGCCTTAAGTTAGAATTTGCTCACTTCTATGTACTACACAGAAAATTAGCTTGTGATGTCTGGATCCCCTCCTGTGGTGGAAATCACAGGACCTATCATGTGCCTTAAAATGTTGACTTTGGAGGCATAGTTAGCAGTCACTTAAAACTAATTAAGGCAGTATTTGCCCATTCTTTTAAATAGCCTGTTTTGTTTTTGGTATATTAATCAGCCCTCAAAATAAATCAATGTAATGTAAACTAATTGAAAAAAAATTAAAGGATTTTCAACAGAGAAGAACAATGTGTGATTTTTTATATATGTATTTATGTATATGTTTTGATTCACGAGTGTATTTGCATGGATATATTGATTCTTATTCAAATTGGGTTTATACATCTCATATAGAAATCCCGTTAGGTTATTTATCCTGATTATATTTAAGAACATCCTAAAAACTAAAGAAGGTTTGTTGTGGAAACCACCTTCCAGATCTTTGATTGCCTTGAATTAAGATCATGGTTTTAGGGGACTATTTTAGGAATCCATCTCATATAGAAACAGGAAAGATTACTGAAGAATGAGAAGAAACAGGTTGAATTCAACTGGGAAATTAAATGAGGAACAATGTCAAAACAGCCCGTAAATAAAGGGAAAAAGGACATCAGAATTTCCTTTTTCAGAAATTCTGAAATAGCCCGTATGAAGAAATTTTGCATTTTTGTATAGGTATTTGAAATGTATCTCTAAGGTTCTTTTTGGAATGCAAATGTTTTACCTATCTGTGATGAATTTTCAAATAAGTTTAAGATGGGCTGCCAGTGTTATGGACATTTCCATGTTAAGGGAGACCTATTCTTGGGATCCTTAGCCTTTTATGATGTAATTTAATTACTTCCTTTCAGTTTCTACCATTAAATGGGGCAACCTTTGACTTGTTAAATTACTCCACTACAGGAAGTAGTGATTTGAGATTTTAGAATGTTTACATCATGTCTAAATAGAGAATTGTTCTGAGAACCTTGCTGTGTTGATAATGTTATAGATTTAACTACTATAATATGAAATTGAGCTTATGCCAACATCAAGCCTCCTGCATATGTTGGACTTAACATATTCTTTTTTGCATATCAGTATGTCACATTGAGGGGCACGCCTAGCAAATTCTGTAGGATTCTGTTCAGTTTCGGTGTTCACTTATTGTGACTGGTCCAAAATGTCTAGATGCTTCTTGTTAAATGGCCATGCTGGCCAAGCTCCATTTGAGTTCAAATCATTGTTTCTTTTGTCCGATGTTTTCTCAATCTTCTTGCCAGTCTCATTATTTGTTATTGATCAAGGGACATATCCTTTTTAGTCCATCAGATGGCTTATAGTTTTCTGTGTTCCAGTTATGGACAAATGGAGCGTGTTATCCTTTCTGCTGAGATTTCAGGAGTAGATCTTAGGGGAGCTGTCACACGTGGCATTGGAGCCCAGGGAATCGAACTTAGTGAAACAGTTCGAAGAATGGAGGAGTCCATTCCCCAAGTAATTGTACTTCTTGAAGCTGCTGTAGAGAGATGTATCAGCTTTACTGGTGGTTCTGAGGCAGATGAGTTAATTCTTGCCCTTGATGACATAATGTTACAATATATATCCATACTGCAAGAAACGCTTAAATCACTAAGAGCCATATGTGGAGTGGATGTTTTCGCTGATGGTGTTGGTTCAAAGAAGGATGTGGGATTGGACAAAAAGGAAGGGGCTCACAATGCTCGTAAAGTTGACTCAACCTCAAATGAGGAGGAGTGGTCCATTGTCCAAGGTGCATTGCAGATCCTCACTGTTGCAGACTGTTTAACAAGCAGATCCTCAGTTTTTGAAGCTTCCTTGAGAGCCACTCTAGCAAGACTGAGCACAAGCCTGTCTCTTTCAGTATTTGGTTCTACTCTGGACCCAAACCATTCACACGTATTCAGTAATGATGGAAGTGGGGAAATGACTCTGCCTGGAAGGGCTTCATTGGATGTGGCAGCTGTTCGGCTTCTTTATGTTCCTGAAAAGGCTCGAAAACTCTTCAACCTTTTAGATCAGGTACGTGATATCCAAATAACTTATTGTGCTCCCCTCTGTACCCATTTTTGTTGCTTTTTGGTGCATTAGGGGTAGGGGTGACCTGTTTATTTATTATTTTTCTTATTATTTTTCAATAGTTAAGAGTCAAGACAAACTCATACACCTATTTTGTCCCATTTGGGACTTGAACCCTTAACCGGCAGGATGTGACCTTGTGTAGGACAAATACCAATGTCAAATGATAACAATTATTTTGGGTTGTATTGCCCAGCTTTAAGAGTATGTTTAACCATTTTATTCTGCAATCAATTTTTAGAATGTATAAGAATGAGCAAGTGAAAAACAACAGGCGGTTCATGATTTAGGTAATTAAAAGTCTAAACATTAGACAAACATAAATAATGATCTAAATGCAATTAAACAATCCTCAAATAAAGTTGGTCCCTCCCACTTCCACGTTCCCAAGTTCTTCCTCTCTTTATATATATGTATGTCTATACATGCATGTAGAACCTCTCTTTTTTTCCTTAGTTGGTACTCATACACACGTGCCTCCACTGAGGCTCGAACCCCTGACCTCCCTTTGGGAAGTAAGGGTTTGGTACCGCTAGGCCACAGACCTGTTGGTCATATAGAACCTCTCTTTATATATATGTATGTATATACATGCATATATAAATGCATGTGTATATATATTTGTTATGCACGTATGTTTATTTATTAATCATATAAAAGGTGCTCATTGCCCTGGAGTTGGACTTGATTGATTTATGGTTTGGGTCAACTGAACAATTTTGGAAGTGCTTTTACAAATTTTGTTTGGTAGCCAAAAATACTCTACATCTACCTTTCAATTAACTGTCCTTTATTTACTTTTATGGAAGCTGCAAATTATACCATATAGTCAAGTAGAGTAAACTCCTCTTATCCTTGGCCTGTAAGTAGCTTTCTGCTGCTTCTCTCTAACTGTGGATATTGTGCCTTCTTCATACATGCTTTTGTGTACATCTCCATGGATAAGTGATATGATAATGAACTGCAATTTACTTTTTTATTTGGACTAGAAAGCGATGAAACATATTGTTCTAAAACTACTAACTATTTAATGTTTGAGAAATATGCTTTCCTGTGTTGCCAGAATGATTATTTTCTAGAAAATGACTTCATACTGTGTCTTGATGGAAAGAATATATCAAATATATCTCAGTTCAATGCACATGTCAACTAGAGCGGCCAGAGTATATTTGAAACCTGAGTTGGATTTGGATTAAGAAATTCTGAACTCAGGATTTAGTTCTGTTACTTCACACATAACTGCCACTTGAAACAAAAACGTGATAATCCATCGTATTTTATGTTGCATTCTCTGTATGATTTCTGATTATCGCTTGCTGTGCATATTTGTGCAGCTTTACCTCCCTCATGTAATTTTTCTTCCTCCAAAATCAGTAATTTCTGGCTTCCGACATTTGCATCTATTTTAGTCCATAACAAGATGTTGGCGTTTTGCAGTCAAAAGATCCCCGATTTCATGCACTTCCGATTGCATCTCAGCGGGTTGCAGCATTTGCAGACACCGTGAATGAACTCGTCTATGATGTCCTCATCTCTAAAGTACGGCAACGCCTCTGTGATGTGTCTCGTTTGCCGATCTGGTCTTTGGTTGAGGAACCAGCTGCTCTACCTCTCCCAAGTTTTAGTGCATATCCTCAGTCCTATGTGACTGGTGTTGGTGAATATCTTCTTACATTACCCCAGCAGTTGGAGCCGCTTGCTGAGGGCATTTCTAACAGTGATGCCAACACTGACGAAGCCCAGTTCTTTGCAACTGAATGGATGTTCAAGGTAACCATGCCTCACCTTTAAATTAAATAGCCTTGAATTCGGGTGTGCACATCTCTATTAGCTTCCTATTTTTGTACACATGGCTTGCCTAAAAAAGTAGAAAAATAGAAGGGTTATAACAACCTAATTTTAACTACGATGGCTAAGGGGATTGTGAATCTCCAGAAGTGTAGCAGGCCTGTTCTCACGTCATTATATTATCTGGTCCGTGAAAACCAATATTGACTTGTCCAAAAAAGGGCTTTTTTTCTGCATTATTTTGAATATAACTTATACCATTTTAGAATAATGATTTAAGCTAACACATACCAACATGAAATCCGAACCTTACCCATAGCTAACATGATTATTGGTTTCCAAAACTGGCCCTTAAATTCTTTTATTTGCAGAATCAGATGATTCTGGACCATGTTTTCACAATGCTATCCTCTTATCACGAATACCTCATTTGATAAACGTGCTAGCATGTTATCATTGGTTGGTTTAAAATTATTTAATCATGATAGTACCTTTCATCGATAAACGGCCAAGGAAAAAACATGCTTTGAGGTGAATGATCATGTGCAAACAGCTCTCTTTAAATTTAACAGATTCACGATCAAGATCGTAAGTTTTATTTAATCAAGCCTACAAGATAGCTAATCGGTTCTTATGTCGTTTTAAAGGTTGCAGAAGGTGCAACTGCCCTTTACTTGGAGCAGTTGCGGGGGATTCAGTTCATAACAGATCGCGGTGCCCAGCAGCTCTCTTCTGATATTGAGTATCTGAGTAATGTGCTTTCTGCTCTATCAATGCCAATCCCTCCAATCCTTGCCACATTCCACACATGCCTTTCAACTCCCAGAGAGCAGCTGAAGGATCTGCTGAAATCAGATTCGGGCGATCAACTTGACCTTCCGACAGCCAGCCTGGTATGTAAGATGCGGCGTGTGAATTTAGAACAGTGATTTTCTGAAGAAAATTTTGTACCAAATCGGTCGGTAGTTTTTGTCGCATCTGAATTCAATTTATTTGTCAAAATTCAGTTTTTCTTTTATAAATCTGTGATAGATCATAGATGCTACCTAAAGTAACAGGTTAAATATTTGATCTTAGTGAACATATACTTTGAGTTGAAGAGTAAAATGAGAAAATATGATTCTTGTAAAAGCTTTGTTGAGTCGAGCGTTTATGTACGTTTTTGTGTCTGATATAATTACTGGATTAATAAGATGTGCCAATGGCATGTTTCATCGATCATTATTACTTGTCCAAGTTAAAACTCAACAGATTTTTCATGTTCCCATCTGAATTGGAAATTCCTTGGCAGGGCAAATTGTAGGCTTGAATTAGGTTTTCTTTCTTCATTTTTTTTTTCCTCTTTCCCCCCACCCCCCATTTGAATTTTTTTTAATGTTTTTCTCAAGCCGGCAAGATTATCAATCGCCAGAGAGTAATAAATATTCATTGCCATAAAATGCTAGCTCTAAAGTTTTTAATGTGTCTAAATTCCTAAATGACCCATGAACAAGGATCGAGTTTCCGCTACTATCCTTCCTTCCTCAAATCTCTTGAGTTTTGTATTTTTTAGGATGTATGTGATATAATTAAAACATGAACCAAATTGATAATGAAATCTTTGCGAAATTTAAAATTATTACCAGAGTTGTGTTATGTTTTTTAACCGATTCCATTCTTTGGATGCTAAAAGGTAAAGTTTTGTTTTTTTGTCGACCTCTTAGAGCACCCAACGGCACCTACAGTCCTGTTCCACACCGGAGTTGAAAAGGAGAGAAGAGTGACTACTTGCATAAATTTATTACTTCCACAGCATCACTTCCGATTCATTATACTATTATTAAGGGAATATTATTGGATGAAGTGCTTTTTTAACCAACAGATTTAATTTCAGGAAGTGCTAGAGAGAGAGAAAAAACAAGAGAGGATCCAAATCTATAACAATTTTGAGTCACCGTCCCTAATCCCACAATTCAGGAGGAGGGGCCAATAAAAAATCAACTATAAACTTAAAAAGATGTATTAATATCAAGTATTGGCTACCAACTACAAGAATTTTCCAGGTCATATAATTCATTGTCACAAATAACAAATTTCAACACAAGGCCATAAAGTGAAACAATTACCGTAACTGAAGGAAACAAAGAGATGGTTGCCGCATCTAAAATACAAGGTATGTTAAGGTTCATTAATTCAACCTGCCTCTGCTCAATCTCACAAAACTTTTTGGAGGTTCTTATTATATATCTCTGAAATAAATTACAATGTAACATACCCAAGTACCTAAAAGTAGTAGAGATCCGAATAGAATTTCAGTTACCATACAAAAAAGGACTGCCCGTCCAACTTGAACCACGGAAGCACGAAAAATACTATGGAATGTATTCCCTGCACGAGACTCCCTTCCAAATAACACGAAAAAAGATCTTCATACTCATCAGCAAATCAAACTCAACGAGAAGGTTCACCATAGTGTCCCTGCAAACTAGACACAGAAATTTGCTATCCTGCGTATTTAAGTTTTAGTTACCTCAGGGATTGCATTCTATTTTTATTCCCGAGAGACGAAGATCACGGTCCACTGGTAGATTTTCTCAGGCAGGTGGAAGCAAGACTTCTGCTGAAGAAAACTTGTATCTAATATAGGAGAGAAGCCACATAAAAACACGGAACACACTAAACAGTTATCTGTACTAAAGAAAGATGGATCCATTGCCTAATTCTCATTTCTAAAGTTTGTAAAACAACCCCAGATTATGTATAACAAGTACCTTTTTCATTAAAGGATATATATGATTGTAATGGTTGCAAATTAGTAAATCTTCTATCCCCCTCCTTTTTCTGTTGTTCACAGCTCGCTCATTCATGTACATTGTGCATATAAAATTATACTCGTTTAACTATACCACACCAAAAAGGGTTGGGGTGGCTGGAAAGTAAGAGCATGGAAACGATTCCCAACTTGTCGTCGTTATTAAAAAAAAAAAAAGGGGGGGCGAAGAAGATAACCTACTAGGAACCATATTCATGAAGCTTACAAAGATCCCAAAGACTCAGCAACTGCAAGCAAGAATTTGCTTAAAGTTTACCGAAAGATCAAAAAATAATAATAATAAATCCACAATAATTATAAATATTAATCCATGAGTGCAACCATGACAAAATTGGGACTTTACGGTTACCTTATGGTTAAGAAAAAATCATGTTCCCCTTGAGCAGCAAGATCATCATACTCATCAAATCTGTCCTTTTGACTATTTGAATAAGGTAGCCCACAATGACCCAGAAAGGGGGGCAAAATTTCTGAAAATAATATTTAACATCAGAAGAATGACAATGATAAGTTATACCTACCTCAATCCTTTCTCTTCTAATTATATTGATGATAGGGAGATGGTAAAGTCTCAATAAAGCTGTGAGCACAGGAAAAAAAAGAAAAATTCACCCATGATGACGTTTTAACTTGAGACCTCAAAAGCACACATTCATAAAACATTGTGAGATACAAGAATAACTACCTCATGAGTTCCATCTATCTATCTAAGCAATCCACTAATATGGGCAAACTAGACTTCTGAGAGATCTCGTGTGACCATGCCTTACAGGGGAAGGCTACCTGCTTCTATCACGCTCCGCATATACATCCTGATCCCTGTATCTGTCCCTGCCTCTATCTCTACCATTCCTGAAATTGCCGTACTTTGAATCCAAGCGTCTCCCTCCATCTCTGCTGCCTCTACCATTCCTCTCATAAGACCTATCATGGCTGCGGTCTCGTTCCCGGTATCTGTCCCGCTCTCTGTCTTGATCGCGATTACGATCTCTCTCCCGATCTGCTGAACCACTTCTTCTACGTTTACTCTCATATTCCTTCTCCCTTTGCTTCCTTCGTTCCTCTGCTTCTTTCTCCCTTGCTAATCTTTCCTCTTCCTTTGCCTTCTCCTTTGCCGCCTGGGAATTAAAGTTCCATATTCACCATTCATGGAAAAAAGGGAAAACAAACAAATTCCAACATGTAGATCATTGTTAGAAAGGAGACTCACCTTGTACTCGGCGAGGAAATCCCTAACCATGCCATAACCAATATGCTGCTTGCCAGTTATGTGAGATTGAGTCCTCTCTGCAGCATCATTTGCTATTAGAAAAGAACCACATATCTCACACAGAGCCATCTTTTTCTCCTGTGCAAGCATTGATACTTTGTCATTCTGGTGCTGTTGAGTCAAGGTTGTCTTTTCAGCATTAAGCATCTCCACCTGCAACATAATTGTTTTCAAACATTTAAGAGTTAAATTTCCATCAATCTCATAATAAAAATTCAAAGTTCAGAAACAACTTGCAAATTGGATAACAAACACTCGATAGTACCTACCTTCCTCATGAGTGCTTCAGCTTCATCAACTTTCCCAGCTTCACCAAGGGACTCCACTTGCTCCAGCAGGTTCTTTATTTTCTCCTCCAGCACAGACAGCTGCTCAGATATTTCCGCAGAGATTGGAGCAGGGGGGGAAACTTCCACCTCTTGAGCGAGGCGTTCTCGCCCACGCCTAACTCTTCTGTCTAAGTCCATAATCTGAAAGGTGATGATAATGATATTCAAAAGTGTATATATATATACACTAAAGTTTACCGATGGTCATGACCAGAAGGCTCAGAAAGTAATGACAAAAGTAACTTACCAACTTCTCACAAAAATGAGAAAGTTCTGCTTCAAACCTGGGCACGTAAGAGTTGTGTCTTGGGGACTTCTCAAAACTAAAACCAACAATATATCCATATTAAAACCATGATAGAGAAGTAGAACTACAAACTACAGTAAAAGAAGTGTATTAACCAGTGTATGTCCCAAGTTTGTAGGGTGCTGAAGGGGAATATTAGAGATAGACTTGACGTTTTTCATTAGTTTCCACAAAGTAGCACTAAGCAAGACAATTCTAGAAACCCAAAAAAATCTGTAAGTAACCTCCATGAACTGTGCCTAAACTATGGTTGGATATGGTCAGATATTTTCTCTACAACAAGCAGAGTCGGTAGGAGAAAAAATGTAGGTTCAGCATCACACTATATATTTTGTAATGACTAGAAAGACCAGAAAGGTTTGGAAAATATTACCCATGAAGATGGAACAAGCTCGAAGTAAATAACAAAATTTATGCCAAGGGGTGTTCATCATTCAAATTTCTATTATCAACTAAATCAAGCCAAAAATGTATTTGGAATTTTTCACATGTTTCGAGTCAAAAGAACATATTCATAAAAGGGATTTGTAGCTGACCATAAAGGTTTGGAGAATATTACCCATGAAGATGGAACAACCTCGAAGAAAATAACAAAATTTATGCCAAGTGGTGTTCATCATTCAAATTTCTATTATCAACTAAATCTAGCCAAAAATGTATTTGGAATTTTTCACATGTTTCGAGTCAAAAGAACATATTCATAAAAGGGATTTGTAGCTGACCACAGTTAAATCTAACTGTGAAGTTGCATGAAACAATGAAATCCTAAATCTACAGAGGCGTCCATACAAAAAGGATTTCAATGGCCAGCAAACATAGTCCATCGCAAGCAAAACATACAGCACATATTCAAAGCCTATCCCGCTCTTAAAAATAGATTAACTGTTTTTTTACTGCAAAAGAAGCCTCTCACTTTTGCAAATTAATGTGTCATGTCCAGAATGGCCAGGAGGACCGGTTACAATAGTACAAAAGGTGAACTGTCAAAACCTGGCAACAAAAAAATTCTTAAATTCCAATAACAGGTAATAGTTCATCAATTCAACCAATTGATTTGAAAAGTAAAATTGACCCCCTTCTTTTCAAGGATCTGAACAAAAAGCATCAGATCAGTTACCTCAGAGAGAAACCTGATACAGCCAGACACCATGTCTTTTTAGCACGCCGAGCGTGTAACTCATATTTAAGATAATCCTATGACACACGTATAAAACAGCCAACTCACTCAAAATAGGATTACGCAAAAACCCAAAAAAAAAAAAAATTGAGAAACAAACTGTTTCAACAGCAACACATCACTCTGAACAAAGCCTATTCAGAACAACGAAACCAAATAAGATAGCCAACAACTTAAAAGGTGACTTCACAAGCTGCATTATATAAAATTTGAGAACCATACAATTAAGCAGCACATTCCTTACTGGCGATGATATGAAAATCCTAGACTCATAGGAGTCATAGGACAACTATATTCATCAAATCATCTTTTATATTAATATTCATCCAATTATCTTCAGAATATAAAACATAAACAACAAAGAGAACCCACGAAGATGAAGAATTCTCTTCACAACAATTTCCTAACAAATGGAATCCAAACTATATTCAACCAGTTACCTTTCTTTCAACTTGTCATCATGAATTTTTGGGCATGCTCCTGATGTAAATCAACACAGTAAAAAAACAACAATTAGTGATAATACTTGGAGTTCAATCATTGCACATAATAACCAGGAAAAGAAACCAAAATTCTAGAAGTTCATACTTGGACCATTAACCTTTAAAACCAAATATCACAACAAATGATACAAATTTTGTTTCTCGCCTTTCCTACACTTCCATCAACAACCAAACACTAAAGAGAAAATTCAATTTTAGCACAAAATTGATCACAACGCACCTAGATCACTCCGTGTGTTCACGAACAGATCATGAGGGCAAAATCGAATCATATAGGATCCACAAACCTCCTTATCGTCCCATGTAATTTCCTTGTAACCCCTTCTCTCTTCTTCAGTGAGATTACGAGCTAAAAATACAACAGAATAGAACCACACAATTAGCTGATATAAAATATATATGTATGAGGAAGAAAGAAGCTAAATTGAAGAAAACTAAAAATTGGGTTATGGAAGGATCGTGAGCTATTCAACCGATCAAATATTTGCAAATAAAATAAGTAACAAAATTTTCGTATGAATATCAAATCGATTGAAGAAACGATGGTGCCAATTCCAAACAATTGAAAAAAATAAAATTTTGTCCTATGAAATTCATATTCGAGCAAACTGAAAGCTTAGGTTTTCACGCAAGCAACCTGCACCCATGAGTTCGTCTAACAAAGCTCTCTGCGCGTCCATGTTGACAATGGAGGGCTTCGAGATTCGAAATCAAATTGAGAATAATGGTTATGCGAAACCCTAGTTTAGGGAGAAGGATGGGAGAGAATGGAGGTTTTTCAAGTCTGGTGATAACACTCTGTTTGGCATCATATCCTCGTGACAATTGGATTTTTTTTTTTATTATTTAATTTTTTTTTTTTTTTTTTTTTCATGCCAATAAACACACACCCTCTCACTAGGACGGGGACGTGGGTGGCCTAACCCGAGCCCAAGTTCCATCGGAAAATTTTACACGCATGTGCAACAAGGTATTTGGGGCTATGGGGGATGAGACTGGTTTAATTTTTAGAGCCCAAATTTATTTTAGGTGGGGATTTGGGCAAAAGTTTTACTAATCCGAAAAATTCAAAATACAAAATATATATATATATATATATATATATATATAATTAATTTTTATACTTTTTTTTTGGAAGGTAATTTTTATATTTTTAAAAGGGTATTCATTAACTTAAAAACATTTGCTTTAAAATTTTAAAGTAAATTTTTTTTTTATAGTAATTAAATTTTAGTTAACAAACAAAATAATAAAGAATATTATTCGGCTCTTTCCAAATTCTAATAAGAAGCAATTTAATTTTAATTACATAGTTGGGTTGATTAATGTCCCTTTTATTTTATGTCAAGTGCAAATATTTATATACTTTAACGTTCTTTTAATATTTATTAGTAAGAGCATCTCCAGTGCTAAATGTCATTTCGGACTGCCAAATTTATATTTTGAGAGAAGCTACAGTGTCAAAATACTATATTTTAGCAATTATGCTCAAATGGTGCATTTAATCCAAAATGCTATATTTTAGCAATTCTGAGCCTCCATTGAATCAAGTCCTACCCACTTTTAGCTTCTCAATCCTACTTTAACTCTGACCGTTGATTCCAAATTACCTTCCCATCTTAACCATTCATTGCATTATGTCCCACATAATATTTTTAGGGCAAATCATTTCAGCCTCCCCAATCACCTCCATCTTTATTCTCGTTCTTGACTTTGAACTTACCCTCTCTCTGTGCAACTGCAAATTACAAAATCTACAAGAATCAGAAGTTCAAAACCCATATATTTCAGTTTATCTATTTGTTTGCAAGAATCAAAAGTTCAAAACCCATATCGGCATATCATTTCAGATTGTTCAAAAAATCAAAACCCATATCTTTCAGTTTCAATCGCCTGCTGTTCCAGTTCGGGTTTGCCGTTCGCAAGCTTCAACCGCTGTCTCTCAACTCTCAAGCTTGCCCCTCTCTCTCTCTCTGTGCAACTGCTAACTTTTATGTATGAGTTTTGAAAATTGTAAATCATTAAGATATATATATATATATATATATATATATATATATATATATATATATATATAACAACACTTACATGACTGATTTCAAATTGAGGGTTTCAAGAAATGGGAAATTGGAGGATTGAGGAAACCATTTGGGTCTGGTGCTTTGATTTGTAGTGCTTACAGAAGATGCATCATTCTTACGAGCATTGTAAGGGGACTGAGTTTTGTGGACAACTGTTGAAGACTTGGTTGAAAATTGTGATGATGCAAATCCTGGCCACGTCTTTTGGGTTTGGTGCTTTGTTTTCTGGAGAGTTAGATATACAAACATACATATAGAGAGAGAGAGAGATTGAGGTCAGATTTTGCAAATGGCAACAAACTTGTCGTTGCAGATGAGAGGGAGAGAGACGACAACGGAATTAAGAGACTTGCCAAATTTTTTTGGCAGCTGCTAGATTTGAGAGTGAATTTGGGAATTTTAAATTTTGAGAGCTCAAATGAAAGCCCATTGGAGAGCTCACTTTTTAGACACCTCTCATATTTTGAATTTGAGAGCTCAAATAAGAGAGCATTGGAGATGCTCTAAGATATTATAATTTGGGATGACTCCAGTATCTCAAAAACTCATAAAACCCATGCGATATAGCACAGTTTAAGATGTGATGGTTCTTCAGGACTTGGGTTTAGGCTTGGGTTGACATGTTACAACTTTGGATTTGGCATTAGCTAATCCCTTGGTCCGCCCAAGTTTCACCCCTTACCACTCACACACAAGTGTGAAAGACTTCCCAGTATCTTTAATACTTTATTTTCTGTGCCATCTAGGGATGACAATTTTCCCTAATCCGGTAGGTTTCCGCCCCACCCTAAATGGGATGGATTTAGTAGCCTCCTAAATGTGTTTGGGGCGGATTTGGTAAAATAATCTAAAACCCAAAGCGAGTTTAGAGTGGGGGCGAATTTAATGATGAACCCGTCTCGACCCCAGCCCTATTATATATATATATAAATGTATATTAAATATTTTTAAGACCTTTGTTACTTTAAAAGTTTCCGTTAATATATTAATATTCATTACTTGGTAATTTAAAAGTTGGGTCACCTTATTTAGCACAGTTTAAGATGTGATGGTTCTTCAGGACTTGGGTTTGGGCTTAGGTTGATGTGTTACAACTTTGGATTTGGCATAGGCTAATCCCTTGGTCCACCCAGGTTTCACCCCTTACCACTCACACATAAGTGTGAAAGACTTCCCAATATCTTTAATACTTCATTTTCTGTGCCATCTAGGAATGATAATTTTCCCCAATCCAATAGGTTTCCGCCCAGCCCCTAATGGGATGGATTTAGTAGCCTCTTAAATGTGTTTGGGGCGGATTTGGTAAAATAATCGAAAACTCGAAACGAGTTTGGGGTAGGGACGGATTTAATGACGAACCCGTCTCGACCCCGCCCCAATTATATATATAAAAAAATGTATATTAAATATTTGTAAGACCTTTGTTACTTTATTAAAAGTTTCCGTTAATATATTAATATTCATTACTTGGTAATTTTAAAGTTGGGTCACCTTATTTATTAGCCTAATTTGACTACATTGGGCTAATTTTTTTTACTACATAATAAAAATGGCATAACTTACCCCGCCCCGCAATTAAACGAAGTGCACTCCGGGGGGGCGGGGGTGTGGAGTCAGTACTTTGTCTATCGGAGTATGAGCGGAGATGATATACCAATTATAAACGAAGTGCACGGGGGTGGAGTGGAGTTGGTGCTTTGTTTATCAGAGTAAGAATGGAGATGATATACCAATTATAAAACGATTTCAGGGGGTTAGAACGGAGTTGGTATGATGAATTTTGTAACGGAGTGGAGTAGGGTTTAGCTATATCTGCCCCAATTCTGCCACGTTGCCATACCTAGACTGCCATCAACTGATTGTGTATCATGTCACATAAGTAAAAGTACTTATTTTAGTAGATCCTATCACTGCGTGTCAGTGTCTAATCACGCGGTGATACCATGTCATAATGCAACTGGCGCAATTAAGTTTTTCTTCACACAAGCCTGTCAGGTGGTTTTGTGATTTCCTTTTTAACAAAAATGGAATTCAATGCAATCTAAAATAGATTATGTGCTAATTACAAAAACAAAATAAAATTTAACAAAACAAAAGTAGCAAATATGAAGCGCTCCAAATTAGTAATTTTATGGATAAAATAGCAATAATTATTATTTGTGTAGATAATAATATTACACACACACACACACACACACACATATATTTTTATCATATCCATGAATGTATATGTGTCTTATTTTTTAAAATATTCTCTTATCTCTATATGCTTATTACCCGTATCCGTGTCTATATTTCTTAGATGTGAGATAAACCAAATATTAAAATTAAATATAATTATCTTTACTTTATTTTTTCCTTTTTCCTTTTATTTATGGACTGTTGATACCTATAACATTCTAGAAGTCCACATATATGTATAACTCTCATGAAATTCAACCAAATTTTTTTGCCCTCAAAAAAACACATCTTTCATTTTATCTTATGAAAAAAAAAAAAAAAAACACATCTATCATTTTACTATGGAGGATATGAAGTTATGAACTTCTAATTTTTCATTTAGAAGGTTGAGAAACACAATCTCCTTTCTAATTCCATTCATTTCAATAACAGGAATTCCAAAATATTGAGGTAAAGTCAATTCTAAGCTAGATCCACCCTACCTGCACATAATTTTTTGTAATTTGAAAAAGGATGCAAGTTGAACAAATTGAAGGGTTAGGTTGTTTGGGTGAAAAATGACACTATTCTTTGAACATAGAATACACATATAACAAATACAAGTTCTCAAACAAATTTCAGTTGTCTCAAAATAAAAAATAATTTTCTGAAAATTGAATCAAATAAATTATTTAATTTTCACATATCTTAAAATAGAAAATTGTTCTCAAAAAATTAAATTAAATCAAACATCCTATAAGTAATCCCTCTCCTCTTTAAAATTTATTTATATTTTTTTTTTCCTGAAATTCCCCCAATCGAGGTGTAAGACTAGATTTAGGGTTTAGAATCAACCCTAAGACTGGATCTGAATGGACCATGTTCATCACCGGACTGGACCAAGAAAATTTTCAAAAGTCGAGAGTCAATGTCAAAATGTCACAATGCAAAAAAAAAAAAAAAAAAAAATTCAAAATGTCAACAAGTCGGCATTTCACCAGATCCACCACGTCAAGCAAAATTTAATGACTTATTCTGACGTGGCACAAACTAATTGGACGAAACTTTGTTGCAAACGCCGTCGCTTCCACACCGGATCTAAACTCTCGAAAGACTGAAGAAGCTACCTTCGTGGAAATGCTCGGGAATTATTTTTACAGATTTGGCCAAAAAAACATTAACGGAGCTTTCACTGATTTAGCGGTTACTGCATATCATATGTCTCTGAGTTTATATCACCGACAAGAGTTTGCGAAGTTTGTTTCGATTTGAAGGTCGTTTCAATTTTGAAGTTGAGATAAGAGTTTATTTAGTATTTATTTTTTGAATTTATTTATTTTGACTGAATATTTTTTGTCGATTATCAGATCAGATGGCGGAAGGAGGTCCACAGTCGCGTTATGTGAAGCTGACTAAAGATCAAGCGCCTTTGGAAGACATTAAGCCTGGAGAACTCAATCAGCCCATTGATGTTCCTCAGGTCAGTTCTCTCTCTCTCTATATGTATATGTATGTATTCATTTGGTTTGTAAATTACTATATAATTTGATCTATCAGGGGACTCCTTTTGGATTTGTGATTTTCCTTCTGATTTCTAGTGTTTACTGGAAGCTGGTTTGACTTTCAGTTTCAACTATGGCGTATATTAGGGTGATTAACACTGTGTTTGGAATGCTTGGTTTTGGAATTCAAAATGGAATTCCTAGGGTTTGGAATCACAAGAATTTAAAATGGATTTGGATTTCATGGGATTTTGAAATCCCAAAGTACAATGTCATCAAATCCCATGAAAATTTGTGGAATTTGATGGGATCTGAGAATATCAAAAAGAAAAGATTAAACAGAAGTTCCCTTGTTACATCAATAATGAGATGTTTGGTAACAGGCGGTGATGGGAGGCTAGGGTTCTCAGATAATTCTCTTTTAAGTTATCCAAATCTTCTTAGTACGGTTGCTTATACAATATCGTCCTCATTTACCAAAATTCCTATTAAGATCCAGCATATTTTCTGTCATGGAAGCCATATAGGAGAACTCTTCAAATTTCTCATGGAAGGCTATTTGGTACTTTAATGTTCCCAGTAGGCACTAGGTTAGCCTTCTTTGAATGCACAACTACTTGTGATGAGAATTCCCTATTTATAGATCATTAAAAAGGGGCAAATCCGTTCAAAGTTGGTGTTCTATGTGTTTGGGGGAATTTGGGAGACACTGCATCACCCCTTTTTTCTTGTTCAGCCATGATGTTTCCTTTTCTCTATTTTTGTGTTTCACTGGGCAATGCCTTGATCGGCGGTTGGTGTAATAAGTAAGTGAAGGGGGACTAGTGTGAGAAGGAGAGCCAGGTCCTCTAGCAAGCAGCTCCATCATGCTCCTGGTGGTGCATTTTGAATGAGCAAAATAGTTATTTTATGGGGATGGAGCTACCAATTATAAGTCTCAAAGAATTGTTATTCTGTACTCTCTCTCCGATACTTTTACATTAGGCAGATTGTTGTGCTGAACTTTTGAGTGAGATGAGGTTATAGGCTATAGAGTGAGTCTCAAGATTTTTTATTTATTTGTTTTTTATTTTTATGGGAATTGACATTGATCTGTTTCGTCTTTCTTTTTGTGAGTATCTTTTTGCGGCATTTGACATGAATTAATAAATGCAGTAATATATAAGTTTGTATGGTAAGTAAATCGATAAATTAATCGTTGAATCCCTTTATTTCATGCTATTTTTAGATACTAGAGCAATTTGGCATATGTAAACCAATTGTGAACCTATAGAACTAATTATTATTTACTACCTCTTGCTTTAATCATTGTTTGAATTAGCGGAAGAGTGTAAATAAAGGGCTGGAAGCAATATTAGCCATACTTTTTGTAAATGCTGTAGTTTTTTTTTTTATCCCTTGATGCATTTAGAATGGGGGAAAAAATGATTGTTTGAAGCCTCTGTAGAAGTTTTTGTGAAACGTTAATAATGTGAGTGACCTTATGGAGTTCTTGCACAAAAAGGTCAAAGGAGTTCACATAGCTGACTTTCATGCCTTCATGGAGAAAGAAACTCCTTACCGAACCAATATTTTTCCTTTTGGCAATCATATAGCTTGTATTTTCCTGCATCATACATATTGCACACTTTACCTATACTTTAGTGAAGTATCTGGTGGGTTTTATTAACAATGCAGACAATGTACTGCTGTATACTTTAGCAGAGGGCTTTATATTCTTCTCAATCGATAGATGAGAATTTGTTATTTTTGCCTATAAGGAGAAATGGAATGATATAATTGTATCACTTCTCTTTGCGGCAAAACTCTTTATTTAAGGTGTCGACAGATTTATAAACTCTTGATATGATTCATGGGCAGTTGAATGTTCACAAGTGCAATGAATGTGGGCAACCTTTACCAGAAAGCTATGAGCCTCCGGCAAATGAACCTTGGACAACTGGGATTTTTGGATGTACTGAAGATACAGAAAGTTGTAAGTTTTTAAATGTTTTGGGATATTGAGTACCTAGTTCGTATTAACTTGTAAGTTATCTGCATACTTGGAAAGGTTACATGTCTACAATATTAACTTGTAATAATTTGACTAAAGTATTCCAGGTAATACTTGTGCTATCTCACAACATGTAGAGACTTTTTGCTGATATATGTATTATATATTATTCACTATCATACTACATCAAGCAATATCAATTGTAAAATTACCAGCTGCCAGATATTTGTAAAGTATTCCAGGTTATACTCTCATGCTGCCATAACTGGGGTAGGGGACTGGTTGTCAAAGTTGAGTTCAATTACAGATATTCCACAAAGAAAACAAAGCTAAAAATGTGTAAATAAGGAGACAGATGTGTGGGGGGGGGGGGGGGGGGGGGGGGGGGGGTTGGGGGGGGGGTGTGGTTTGTGGAAGAAAAAGAAAGTTTTGATGGGGTGTGTATATTAGAGAGAGAGAGAGAGAGATGGTTATGGGTGCCAACTGATGTGACAACTTGAACCCAAGTATGCGAAACTTTCAAATGCAATTTTTTTTTTCCTTTTCTTTTTATTCTTCAATATCTCTCATCAGTCCTCAAACCCCCAACCCTAAGGGGCTGAAGTTCAAATAAACTCCAAACATATTTAGGCTTGTAGAGACTGATTCAGCGCCAATTTTGACAGGTGGAATGGCTTTCATGATTCGTGTTTCATTAATACTACTAATAGTACTACTGATACTACTTTGCATTACACCCTCTTTTACACTTCATTATATCATCGTTTTGGCTTACTATCTTTTTATTTTTTTATTTTTCATAATTATTTTGGCTTACTATCTTGAATGTTCCTTCCTTCCTTGACAAATGCATTGTTCCTATTCACTCTTCTTTTACAGTATATTTCAATATCCGATAATCTTTAATTGTCTCAAAAACCTATTATTTACATCCTCTGCAGGCTGGACAGGAGTTTTTTGCCCATGTGTTTTGTTTGGACGTAATGTTGAAACATTGAAAGAAGATATCCCCTGGACCACACCATGCATTTGCCATGCCATTTTTGTTGAAGGTGGCATTGCAGTTGCAGCAGCAGTGGCAGCATTCCATGGCATTGACCCAAGGACATCATTTCTTATTTGTGAGGGTTTATTATTTAGCTGGTGGATGTGTGGCATATATACAGGTCTCTTTCGGCAGTCTTTACAAAAGAAATATCATCTTAAGGTAAACAACTCTATTTCTCTTTATGTTGATGTGCAACCATTGTTCCAATAAACAACATGAATCATAAAATCTTTTGTCTTGGACAATTAGACCCACACTTAGCAATTATATGATATACAAGTGCGTAGAATTTTTTGTTGGCTTAAAATTATTTCTAATAATTCTCTAACAGTTCATTTTTCCTGAAATATGTGGAATTTACAGGTATATAAAATAATAACAATTTTCTTTCCTCTAAAAACTGTTTATAATTACCAAATCTCCAATTTTATCCCTGGAAATCATATTTTATAAAATAAATGTTACCTTGTGGCCTTGTTTAGCATGGTCAATCCTTTGAATAATTGGCAGGTCTGGTATCTAAGAAGCACGGACACGGATACGGGACACGGATACGACACGACACGGACACAGCGACACGGCAAATCCAAAAAAATTAGGACACGGACACGGCAAATAGTATATATATATATATATATATATATATATATATATATATATATATATCAGCATTAATAATTTTAAAAAAAAACACTGATATGTTTAGGTTGGAATATATATATATATCACTGATATGTTAGTATATATATATATCAGCATCTTTAGGACACGGACACGGCGAATTGTGGCATCTTTAGGTTAGTATATATATATATCACCATCTTTAGGGTAGTACAAAACAAAAAATAGAACATATCAGCATTAAAAATAAAAAAAATAAAAAAAAAAATTAACATATCAGCATTAAAAATTTAAAAAAAAAATCCAGAAAAGTGTGTCCGAGCCGTGTCCGAGCCGTGTCCGAGCTGTCCGAGCCGTGTCCGAGCTGTCTGAGCCGTGTCTGTGCCGTGTCCGAGCCGTGTCCAAGCCGTGTCCAAGCCGTGTCCGAAAATAAAAAAAAATAAAAAAATTCCAGACACGTTTTTTGGCGTGTCCGACACGTGTCGGGGCGTGTCCGACGCGTGTCCGTGTCCGACACGTGTCGGACACGGATTCTTCGTCCATTTTGGAGTGTCCGTGCTTCTTAGTCTGGTATTTTTGTATCCTCAACCAAGCGTCATTGATGTATACTAATGTTGATACCAAGGATAATTAAGCATTGGAAAGTGTTTCCGGCAGTGATGCAAGATGGGGCCTACCATCCATGTGAAGCAATTTGTTATACTTTGTATATTTTTTTCTTTTGATCAGTACTGCATATGCACCAGTGCCCCGACCAGGACTTGAAACTTGCACCTCCCTTTGTAAGGGTAGCAAGTGATGCAACTCATGCTAAAAACTGCTTGTTAGTTAAAATTTGAATCTTGGAATATATGTTCTTTCTCTTAACTACATGCATGTTACAAAAAGCATTGTCACTCTCTATCTACATATATTTATCTCTAACCAAGCAGACCTGTCAACACTTGCACACATACATGGGCACACCCTTATCATCATCTAGACCAAGTGTAATTTACGTCAACATTTTTGAAATTGGTGCAGTCAGATTATCGCAAGTTGCATTCTTTCAGAATTTTACTTCGGCAACTGATTCCTCCTTTCCTGCAATGTCCAAGTGATAGATCATCTATGTGTAATGCTGCACAGCATACTTCTATTTTCAATGAAAATAGAACTTAATGTGAAATTCTAAATTTCCCCATAAAGAAAAATCCTCATATGGCATGCTGGGGTTCATGACATATTATTTGCCTTTTTTATGTTTTTGTTTTTTGAATTGGATGGTGCTAACAGCAAAATAAGTTTAGCTTTCGATAAATTGCTCTATAAGTTTCTCCTCCATCCACTAAGCCATTTCATTCTAAGAAATGCAGCAGTCATGAAAAAGCTTCTTGTTCTATTTTTTCAAAAGCACCATCATTCAAGATGAATACAAGTCCCATTTGTCTCTGATATAAAAATAAAAATAAAAAAATAGAAATAAAACAAAACAAATGACATAGTTTTTGTTTTCCAAATCTTTACTAGTGTTATTGATGGAGGCACACAGAAGTAATAGATTTGTAGCTTTCCCCAATTTAGGTTAGCCTTACCTTTGACATGTTCAACAATTGCTCAACTTTGAATCTCATTTTTTAAACCAACCAAATCAAAATATTTTATTGCCAAACGGACTTGAGAATTCAATCTCCACATGTGATAAGCTGAAGATGTTGATTTGACTTTTAAGTAAATTCTAGTATTTTTTTTATAGCCTGGTGCATCATGAACTTGTTCAACAAAACAATTTCTGTCATGCGCATGTCAACGACATCACTTGCAGCTATTAGTTCTCCATGTTCGGCAATTGGCTATGTTATGCCACTGTTAATGAGTTGAGGTAACTTTTTCATGCAATTTAGTTAGGACCAGTATTGGATTCTTATTGTATTGACCTTATATCTGGATTCAATTTGATATTGTATTTTTTGGAGTACATTTTGATATTGGTATTTGCATTCATAACAGATTCTATTTAGTATTGCAATATCTAATTCTAATCCGATTCACTGATAGTTATGCTGTTATGTCCATTATGCATTCAGTCTGCTCACTCAACTTTGCTGACCCTGTAGAACTCGCCATGTGATCCATGCATGGTGCACTGCTGCATGCACTGGTGTGCCTTGTGCCAGGAGCACAGGGAGATGAAGGGACGTCTCTCCGATGATGTTGTCATGCCAATGACTATTGTCAACCCTCCCCCTGTTCAAGAAATGAGCTCTGCCGGCAACAACCAGGATTCTGCACCATCCTCTGCAAATGGTGCTGAGCACACTAATTTGGAGATGCAACCGTTATAGGATCCACCGTTTCTCGTACAAAATAAATATTATATGATATACTTCTGAGAGAGGGTGCATGTTTGACTTCTTTCATTCCTCATGTTTTTATTTTTTTTGATAATTTTGGTTTTCCCCGGTAATGATGTTTTTGAGAAGTTCTGAACCGCATTATACCGTGAACTCTTTGATCCTCAGAATCAGAAACCTCACTCCCCTATGAAGGGAAATTTATTTTTATAAATGTAGCGACGAATTGGTGCTGTTATGATTTGTGTTGCTTGATCTTGGTTTGGACTTAGCGACCACATGATCTTTTGTAAATGGTCAGTGCATACTTGTACTGTATACCCAATATTGGAGGGTTGGATGTCTATTTGCCTTATGGACTGCACCCGGTGCCTTTTTTGCCTTTTTTTTTTTTTTCAAGCATTGAGGCTCCATTTGGAACTAAGAAGATTGCAGGAAGGAAAGAAAAAGAAGGGGAATTTATTTCCTCTTCCTGTTTGGTTGTGTTGAAAATTTCTTTTCCTTTGCCTATTTTCAGCCTATTTCTTTGTAAGGGTTGAAAGTTCAAGCGCGCACATAATTGTTAGGGTTTGAACACTCAATCTCCCATATCACTCCCTTGGTAATTGACAAAAACATTGCTTATAGAGTATCATCAAATTTTGTCGGATGTGTACTTATCTCTTATAATTAGGTTTTTTCTTTCATTGATAAGAAACTCACAAACCTATTTATACTTTGGAGCTCAAATCATCACCCTTCCCTTTGAAAAGTAGAGGAGATATGTGTTAAAACAAGTTGTTTTTTGTAATAAAATTAGGATTACTAAAACTATTAAGTTATTAAATATTAGACTAGAATTATTTAAGTTATTAAATATTAGGCTAGAATTAGGCTGACCGCCCATTTGCAAGTTTTAATCTTTAATTGAACTTTTCCAAAACTGTCATAACTTGTCACATGCCCTAACGTCCCAAATCGTTAAATGAGAAACGGTAAATTAAACCTCATAATAATTATAACTTCAAAACCAATTATAATTACTAAACTAAGGAATTGACACTGCCTAGGGATCCGACCTTGAGGTCTGGCTTACGAATACACGTGCTCTAGCCTCTAAGGAGAGAGAGAGAAAAAAAATAAATAAATAAATAAAAAATAACTGACAGAATTGAACTCTCTCTACCCTCTCTCCTTAAAATTCTCATTCAGGAGCTTCCCCTATCCCATCCCACTGGTTGTCTACGGCCGCGATTCTATAAACCCTCAATGGTCGTGGTGGTATTGCTTATAGATATGGGTCACTAAAACCCTACTTCATTCTTCTCTCGGACCACTGTCTCCGATGCAAATCTTCGGTTTAATCTGGATTATTACATGACTTCAAACATATACTCCTTAGATAATTCATCCTAAATATCAAACTAAGGTTAATTGCAGATAGCCCCCTCAAATAGATTTTTTTTTTTTTTTTCTTATTTTTTTGTCATTACTTATTTTCATTTTACTTTTGTAGTCTTGCAAAACGACTTGTGGTGAAGGGGAAAAATAAATAAATAACTAAATTCACACGTGTAGATTTAATTTCTAATTATATATATAGAGAGAGAGAGTAGTGATACTCGTACCGAACATGAATTGTCTAACCCAATAATTTTAATTAGCTATTTATACCAAATACAATTAAGCAGGGGGCTCCACTTCCTTATCAACTAAGTAGAGGGCTCCACTTCCTTATTTGTTGCATAATTGACCAATTAAAAAATTATGCATAGCAATTTACTGCAACTCTTCGGTGCAAGAATCACACTCACCTTTTCTTTTCCAGCTTGTGTAAGAATAGATTCGTGATCTATTTCATCATGCTTTTTGAGTCCAATCCAATCTAAATTTCCTTTATCCAAAGGGTTTAGAGTATTCCTTGTCCACTTCAAACAACAATTGTGTATCTATATAAAAACACCATGATCTGTTAACATAACTATTAGCGTAGTATCATCAATTTAGAGAGAGAAAGTCTTCGAGTATCTTCACTTTAGAGAGAGAGAGAGAGAGAGAGAGTCTTGGAGTCATGGCTTGCAGAGGAGGCATATGTGACAACCGTGTCTTTGGTGGTGCTGGTGGTGCAACACCGTTATGTGATTTTGATTATTCTTCTGATACTGATATTTCCATTATGACTTTGTCTCCACCAAATTCTACTTTTGATCTTTTTGGTAATTCAAACACCAAACATGTTACTGCAAATGGAGAAGACATGCTAGGTCTCATGCAAGTAGTTAGGAGGAGGCAAGAACGTTGTTGCACATGGCTCCAGTGTCTTGAGTTTCTAAAAATCTTGGTGTGTGTCTTGTAGACCCTCAATCTCACCCTTGTATGAGAGAGTGAACTATTATTCTTTTCTATAATGTTTCAAAGTTGAATGAAAGTAGTTTACAATTTTAAATGAGTTTTTACTTCAAGCATGCATTCTAGTTGTTCATGCATGTAATATTGTGACTTGTCATTTTCACAACTACCCAGATAGCCCACTACATGAATCATATGTTTTCATTATTCTCCTAAGGTCATAACCTCTAATCACATGCTAAGATCACAGTGTGTAAAATATCTTACAAAACCGACTTTGCCACCCACGAGTTAAACTGATGCAATTGTTATTAGAACAAAAATAATCAAGAGCCTCAAGCCGATAAAGACCGAGAAAAATTTCATTCAGAACTCCATTGTAGCAGAGATGGAATTGAGTAACAATCACAAGCAATTCTACTTTTAAAAAAAGGCACAGTATTCATACTCGACCATGCAGCAATTTGGATGACTAGATTGATGAACGAAATTCTCAAAGTTAGAAGAAAAAGGAACATATTTCATCATATCCTAGACCAATTTTATCAATCAGTAAAGGTGGACCAATTACATCCACACCACATCTATGAACTCCGAATTACTACCGCAACTAAAAGAATCATTCAAATGCTGCCTCTTCTTTCCGATCGTTGAAAATTACATCAAAAGAATGCAACATCCGGATCAGACCCCTGCTCAAATTCCAATCACAGATATGCGTCCAAATAGGTGCACAAAATTGGCGAAATGCAAAAAAAAATTGCTACCCCTAGTCCTTATCACTGACAAGAAGATTGAAAAACAAGGCAATAAGATTTAATTCTGACCTCTCATTTTCCCTCTCCTAGATCTGTGGGATGCTTCTCATCACTATTGCTCTGTGTGTGGCTTTGCATTTCAAGTAACTTCTGTTGTTCCTCCTCACTCTCCTGTGCATTTACTTCTTTCACAGCCTTGGGCTTGTTGCTTGTAGATTGCTGGTACATAAACCCACCTATCATGCATATCAAAAGCCCTATCGTGCCCACAAATGTTGAATGCTTGTCCCAAATGATCAGATTAATCACAACTGTCAATAGCTTGTTCACTATGCCTAGAACAGTGAATCCCGTTGCAGAAATTGCTCTGCGGCAAGAAAACCCAAAGAAAGAGATGGCTAAACCAAACAGACATGATAATCCAACTGGAAGAATCACCTGAAAAGTGTGCCAATCTGACTCATCCGTAATTTCATGCTTTATCTTCTTCAACTCTCCCATAATAAGAAGCTCTAATGGAAACAGTAGCAGAGCCTCGAGATTGTTGTACAGCACAAGACCCCATGTATTTAGACCAATGGTCATGACCACATGCTTAATGTAGACAAAATCTATGGACATGCTTACTAGGTATGCCAAGGCCCAGCTATAAGCCATGAGTGTGAACTGATAGTCTGTTATGACATAAAGCACACTACCACCAAAGATGGTGGCAAGTGAGAGCCATGTCCTCATTGTCGGCCACGGCTGATGCAAGTATAAAGTCTCTCCTATTGCAACAAAAATGGGAACTGCTGAACGAAAGACAATGAAGGTGTCAACATTAGCATGGAGAAGTAGCTCACTGTTGGTGAAGAGAGAGAGGTAGAATATAACTGCAGCTGGTAGGAACCGCCACATTGTCAGAAGATCAAGCCGATCATGCTCTATTAACTTGAGCCACCCACAAATGAAGACCCCAGCTGCGCTTGTGAAGTACTGTAGAGCAGTTAGTGCCCCCGGGTAAGGAAATTTCATAACAGCCCACTTGTTGATAATGGAGAGCAATGATGCCGAAAGGCAGTATCCGGCAGCTATACCATAGACTGATGCTTGATGAAGTAAGCCACTATACCAGGTAACTTGGGATTCGCTAGAAGATGAAACATCTGAACCTATCTGGGCCTCACCATCTTTGGGATTTTCCACATCTCTGAGATTTTCCTCTTCATTGGGCATCTATACAAGAACCAAAAAATTCTTATTAGCTTTGAAATATAGATTTACCATTTTCAATGATGAAATAAAGGAAGTTTTAACTTCCTTTGAAGAAGATCCCATGTATAACATTAGACTGATTCTTATGTTCTATGTAATAAATTTTCCAGAGATAGAAGATGAAAGGGTAATCATCTTTCCCATCCCCTCTCAATGGATTTTGATATTGCCTTAGATATTATTGCTGCTTAAAAGTATGACGGAAAAATGAGACCTGGTCTGATTCTATTGTTAAGAATTACCTATAAAAAACACTGAGGAATGGAAGAAATAAAATGCAAGGCTATAGGCTATCGCTCAACGCTAGTAAAAAATAAAAAATGTAAGACTTTAAAAGAGACAATGGTTGTGAATTACAGTTTCCGTATTTACGTAAATCGCATTTGGCATTGATGTCTGTATAGTGATACAAATATATAAATTTTTATTAACAAAATAAATAGCATTGAATAACTCAACAGAACTTCCTTTTTCTTTAGGATAACAGAATTAATAACAAGGATGATCAAAACTTCAAAGGACACATCCAGAAAAGTTGTCTATTAATTTTTATCCATATCTGATCTGGTGGAACTTTCAATTTTTATTATTTTATTTTGCAAATAGAGCATATGGTGGATCCTAATGCTATCAAATAGAGCATATGGTGGATCATAATGCTATCAAATAGAGCATATGGTGGATCATAATGCCACATCTTAAATACAAAAAAATGGTCAGTAACTATAAGAAAAGAACTTGGTCTCTGTTTAACCAGTAATTTAGATCAATTTTAAAACTTCTTCTTGTTGTTGAATGCTGTTGATTTTATATGATTCTTGGGACATGTTGCGTTACAAAGACAGGGAGTACTTATTATATAAAATCACCAGCAATGTTGCAGCAACAAGAAGCCTATAAATTGATCTAAATTGCTAATTAAACAGAACCAAAGTACATTTTCTATAGCATAACGATCCACCATATGCTCTACGTGCAAAAAGGAGAAAAAAAAAATAATAATAATAAATAAAAATTGAAAAGTTCCACCAGATCTTTCAGTTAATGGACTTTTTTTCTGGATGTGTCCTGTGATCATCCTTTGTTACTGTATTAATTTCTGTTATATGGTCGTGTGTATCTTATGCTGGTAAGGGAAGAAACCAATAATAAACTAAAATCCAGCAATTGGACCTCTCACAACTGAATAAAAGAACATACACGTAAATCATACATACAATTACTTATTCACATTGAATGCTTATGCCAATTAACCAAATTAATAACAATTGATGTAGTTTAATTGTCACTTCAATTTTTTTTTTCTTTCTTTTCCTGCATTTTCTCAGCCACCAAATAAAACATGGAATCATATGCATACATACGTAACTAAACTAATAGGGCACGTAGATTCACTAACGCAGTTATAGATCCAAACCCAACTTCAGATCAAACCTAAAAAAGAATAAAAATGAGAAAAGAGGAGTGCGTAGAGAATACCTTTAGCTGAAATTTCGCGGCGATTCACAGTCGTCGTCACTTCACCGTTGTTGTCGATTCCGCATCTGCGGTGATATCGAAGTTTTCTCCTTAGGGTTTTGAGTCGGAGAGAGCGTGCCGAGGAAGTGTCGGTGCAGGCGGCCACTTTGGTGATTTGGAGTGTAGATGTTGATCGATCGAGATGTAACCTGAAACAATTTGTTGGTTTTCTCTCTCTGTATCTATGCGAGACACTGAGTGTGTATATAATTATAATTATATATATATATATATATTTACCCAGCTGTTTATTAATTTGATGGATCGATGAAGAAAGCGATGGGCTTCTTCAGGAGACGAAAAGTGAGAAAAATGAGGGTCCGAGTCACGTGCTTAGCGCGCGCGAAATTGCTCATTCCCTCCGTAGCCAGCTGGCAAAATAAGAGAATAAAATTAATTTTTAAGGTCTTGATTTATAACTCTAAAATGCATGTTTTTAAAAAATTGAAATATTATTATCAGAAAACAATATTTTAATTCTTTAAAAACATACATTTCATAACTAAATTTTTTAAAAAATAATTTTTTAAAACTGACCTAATCATAAATTTTTATATATTTTTAATTTTTTAAAAATAAAAAATTATTTCCTCTGCGTTGAACTACTTATTAGCTTAAGTAATTGCGTAACTAGTTTAGATTTAATTTTGCTTTTGATTGATTTCCATTCTCGATCGTTTCATTAACATGAACATGAACATGTATTGGGTTGAATCCCTTCATTGAGAGTAGGCCCAACCTCCGAAATGCCAAACAGATTGGAAAGATGGCATAATACAAAACGGGCGTAGCCTGCTAAATTCAAACAACATACCGGTATTGAATGAACATTAAAAACCCACTCCAAACAAACAACACTTTTTCTACTCTCTCATTTTATAATATACCACATCTACCCTTTTCACTATATGCTTTTTCTTCTTACCTTATTTTACATTTTTTTATTTTTTCACAAAATCTCTAGTCTTTTAATTTTGTTGTCAAAAGAGGACTTTATTTATCAACAAGTACAAGGTAAACTTAAATATTAATAAATTCTAAATTAATTCTTAAAAATCACAGGAAAAAAAAAATCTTACTAAACTCAAAGCATAAAATAGAAAATATTTTTTAAAAAATATATACCATTCCGATCACAATCCAAATTAATTCTTCAAAATCACATTAGGGAAAAAAATAAATTTAAACGTAAACTCAATGCAAAAAGAAAAAAGAAAACTCATTCTCTCTATTATTTTTTCATTTGTGAAATCTTTAATTATTATTTACAAAGATCAATATCATATCCTAATGAGAGAAAATAAAAAATTAAAATAAAATAGAGAAACGTTTTAGAAAGACAAGAAGAGTTTAGGGCCTTAGGCTAATAGAAATTTGAATTTGGCCAGGGCTATCCGTTAGCCCGCCCAAGTATTCAAAACAAACAAATTTGAAGTGATTCTTGCCTAGATCAACTCACAATTCATGACAATTACAGTTTGATTCTTACCTAAATCAACTCAATCCCAAAATTGTATGCATTAATTTAGTTGGGCAATTGTAATTTATTCTTACGGTTTTTTGTTGTGATATTTTTCCTTCCACCTCATATCTTATTATACTTATTGCTTGATAATAGTCTCACTAACCTCTCGCTTGGAACACTCGATCACTCTCAATACTGTTACATCGTGTGTATTTTGTAATAATTCCTTACCAAATACATACAATCAAATTGTAACTTTACAAAATACATACAATCAGATAGCATTGAGAATGACATAGTGCTCCAACCAATAGACTTGTGAGGTCATTATCAAGAAATAAGAGAATAATAATAAGATATTACAATATATACAAGGAAAAGAATCACAACAAAGGGTAAAAATAAATTACAATTACCAACTAAATTAATGCAGACAATTTTGAGGCTGGGTTGATTTAGGCAACAATCAAACTGTAATATTTCATTTTTCACTCTTTTTCTCGCTGCACCATTGAGACGATACACCAGTCTTAACCTCGCACACTCCAAGAAAAATAAAACATACTTTTCTCATCACTAAGAAGCAGTATATATACACAAAGAGATTTTTTTTTTTTTTTTTTTTTTTGTAACTGTATATAAAAAGTAGTAAACCCATAATTTATTGAATTTCATTTATATCCCATAAAGACCTACCAATTAAGCTGTTATTATTGTATTAAATTTTCCCATTAAAGCCTTATTACAGTATCCCATTTGAAAGTTAATCAATTTTACCTCTCTTCATAATATTAAAATTGTTAGTATTTAACAAAACTCAACATTGTCTTGTTTTGATGATATTTAAATATATAACACAAATTTATTTATTTATTATTATTAATGAACAATTGCTTATCCACGTGAAATGTAATCGAGTTTCTGCACCATCTGAAAAAAAAAAGGCCGAGACGCCAACTTATACCACAATTTTTTCCTATAGGAAATTTTGTCCCTTAAAATTGATCACTCTTTTACCGAATGGGCACATATATATTGAACCATGACTAAACCATAGAGTTAGATTTACTATTGAGGTATATAGTTTAAACAATTGTTCCAACTTCAAATAACTCTCATTTGGCTACTAGTGGCTTAATTGGTAAAGTATCCAATTCTCGAGCAGGTGTGCTCATGTTCAAGTTCCCCTCTCCCGTAGTTCGCCAGGAAAGAAAAAAAAACAATAAATTCAAAACAATATATCATTACTAATTAGTTCCACTTTTCTGGTTTTGTCTCCACTAAGCCTCAATCTTCCCCTTGGGTCAATAACCAATTCCTCTGAAACTTCACAGAAATTTTAAACCTTTAATTAGGAGCCACATAGAAGACTATATATATATATATATATATATATATATTTGGATAATTAATCACTTTATTAAAAAAGAAACAAGATACAAGCATAAAAGGGGCATCCCCCATCAAAACAAACCAACCAGCCACTGGCTACATATAAAAGGAACCAAATACAGGGCTGCATCACCCATGCTACTAAACCTAGAGATGGGCAGAAAGAGCATTCTAAGTCTAAAAGAGCTGCAAATCTGGTAGGCAACAGAGCACTCGTTTGAGAAGGTGTTGGAGTATCTTCCAGCATTCCTTTCTCCCCAAATCATGTACAAGCAGCAAGCAACAGTAACTTTGTGGACATGGTGAAGCCAATTCTTCCTAGACTGACGATTTGTGTTGATCCAAACAATAATATCACTCAAATTGATATTACCATGCCAATTGAGGCTCACTGCAGCAGGAACAAAATGCCAAACTTTCAAAGACTGACAGTTAAAGAACAGTGATAGATGGTTTCAGCACCATTCGGAATCAATGGTCCATTCCTGCATAAAATACATTGATCTGATTGAGCCATGAAATCTTGTTACTCATAGTACAAAAGAAAACACAGTGTACTAGAAGATGTTGCCAAGACCACCAAGACAACTAAAAGGTTCTCTGAACACATTTCATGTGGTTCCAGTTGCACCTAATACAATATAAAGACCATAACATTTCCTAGTGTAAACTTTCCCACCAAGGACTGACATCAGATTATGTTGCAATGCAGAAACTCTCTGTATTAACTATATTACCCGAGTGATGAGTGTGTTAGTTGCATTTACCTCAAAATATGGAAACACCATGAGAAGAAAAAGCTCTAATTACTGTTGTAAATGATTTATGAGGGTATGACGCGACTCTCCATTCGTAGTTGTATCCCTCCTAAAAGATAAAACGGCAGCCGAAAGCTAAAATGCATAAAATGAAAATCATTCCTCATTCACAAGGAAACCAAAAAGCCAGCCAAAGGATGAAGCAATGTTTGGGAACTCCACAAGGAAACCAAACAGCTCTGTAAAGACTCCACAAGTTGTGGTGGATCCTGCAGAAAAGTGAAATCGACTTGAAACAATGTATACTATATCATACCATATAAGAAGAGGTTTTATAAGAATTATTACCAGTTCTAGGATCAAGGACAAGTGAATTGCAACCAGCCAATAGAGTAACCATTTGCTGGAAACCCTCTTGTGTTACTCAGATCAAACGCAGAGAACGGCATTGGTAGAGAACAGTGGCATCAACCTTTTAAAGTATTTAGAAGGCGTAGCAAGAAGGATTCTAGAGCTCAAACCTTTATTTGACACATGCTAGACGATGGGGTCCACTTGGAGTCTCGCATAATTAGGAGGTTTGGTCAAATTGCATTAGTTTGGTAATTGCATTAATTATGGTAAATTTGCATCATTTTGGTAAACTGCATTATTAGGGGGTTTGGTAAAATTTCATTATTTTGGTAATTGCATAATTAGATTAAATTGCATCAATTAAGTTATTTGTTATTTTATTAACTTAGAGTCAACTTTTGATTACCTCCATTGTAGGGTAATCCAAGGGTTATCTTTTATTATAAAAAAGAAACTATGTAACTATGAATACTTAGCGAATGATTGAATAAAATTATCTTTTGAGATTTATTTATGAGTGATTCACAAATTCTAAGGGTGTGAGGCCTTCTCTATGTGATACCTAGGTCCTATTGTAGTGATTCCAATAGGCTTTTCTTTGTTATTTTCAATCCTTCTTTTCTACTAACAACCCCTGAATCTTAGCTTTGTTTCTGAATTTCCAGCCCATAACTTTTATTTACTTTCTTCTATTTGAGCATGTCCTTTGTCCTACATCAGTTTTGGTATCAGAGCTTAAGTAGACATTATGTTTACGGGCAATGAAAGATTGGACAATAATCAGAAGACTGAGTTGCTGTTACAAATTTTGGAAAAGCTTAAAGGGCTGAATGCTCAATGCGATAGGATAAGCACTCGAATTTCCCAGCCTTTTAACAAATCGGTAGCCCTTAAAGAAGAATATGCATTGGGTACTAATGATGGTAGAAACCGCAAGCAACAATAGCCTTTACACTCTCTGCAAAGGTGTAATTTGAAGGTTGATCCACCACTCCATCCCATGTTGGAGTTTCCAAGAAATCCATTAGAAATGAATCATAATGACCCACATGATGTTGCTGGAGATATTACAAAGAAGTTACGTGATGGAACTTACCGCATACAAACAACAACAATGCAGCCAAATGATGGATCGAAACCATCTTTATCTAACATGGCTGATCCTGAAGGAAAGAGTACAATGGCTAGCAAGGATTGTGAGAACCTGCTTGATGATGAGACCTGCAACACTGATCATGTGAAAGAAGTTGGAGAGATTGTTTCGTCCATCTCCGTTGTGACGCGCATCCTTGAAGACCCTAAAGTTGGTGGCAAAGATGGGCAGCAGACCTCTCATTTTGAGACGCAAGTTCATTGTGGAAATCAAGCTCGGAAGCCTACCATTGATGGCGGTGGCAGCCCAAATGTTGTCTCCACAGCCATGGTTGAGCGTCTCAAAATTTCCATCAAACCGTATCCACAACCATTCAAAACGTCTTGGATAGATAGTACTTCTATTCTGAATCTTCCCAAAGATGCGGCTATTGGAGTAGATACTTGGTGTATATTAGTGGCACTGCAAAGAAATGGGAGCATGCTTGTGCCAAGAAGCAACAGAAGCTGGTTCAGATATCCACCAACTTGGTAGATGAGGTCTGGAAAAATCAACAGCCAGACGAAACTAACCCTGTAAGTGATAATCTAGAGGGGTCTCGCGCATCAAAAGATCATTTTAAAGGGTTAAGTTTTCCCACTATTTCCTCAGTTGGTCCTAATGCAGCAATTATGCATTATAAACTAGAGGAGAAAACATGTTTAGGACTTGATCCAAACAACATTTGTCTATTGGATTCTGGAGCACAGTACCTAGACCAACTGGTTTGCTCTTTATGTTCTTGCTCGAATACATTCGTGGAAGGATAGCCTTGAGTTTCGACATGGTACTGGCCATGGAGTTCGTATCAGAGGTGATGGGTCAGATGCTAATTTTGTTATGGGGTTGCCTAGAACTAGTTGGGGACATGATGCTATAACCATTGTTCTGGATCTTTTTTCAAAAAAAGGCGCATTTTCTTCTATGTTCTATGACCTCCAATGCTGTCTACGATGCCAAACCTTTTCTTCAAGAAGTTGTCCGACTTCATGGGTTGCACAACATTATTATTTCTGATCGAGCTTTGAAGTTTATGCATTGTTTTTGGTGCAAATTATGGAAATTGCTGAATACAAGGCTGAAATTTTCTTGCTCTTTTCATCTTATGAGCAATTTCATCCTTTTAACTCGTCGGAGACGAGTTTTTCCAAGCCGGAGAGAATTGGTAGAGAACAGTGGCATCAGCCTTTAAAGTATTTAAAAGGCATGGCAAGAAGGACTCTAGAGCTCAAACCTTTATTTGGCACATGCTAGACGATGGGGTCCACTTGGAGTCTTGCATAATTAGGGAGTTTGGTCAAATTGCATTAGTTTGGTAATTGCATTAATTATGGTGAATCTGCATCATTTTTGTAAATTGCATTATTGGGGGGTTTGGTCAAATTCCATTATTTTTAATGGAAAATCTACATTGTTTTGGTAAATTGCATAATTAGATTAAATTGCATCAATTAAGTTATTTGTTACTTTATTAAGTTAGAATCAACTTTTTATTACCTCCATTGTAGGGTAATCCAATAAGCTTTTCTTTGTTAGTTTCAATCCTTCTTTTCTATTAACAACCCCCTGAATCTTAGTTTTGTTTCTGAATTTTCAGCCCATAACTCTTATTTACTTTATTCTAAGCACTAAATAAATTTAACGGTTGTCATTTGGTATGTTGTTGCTGGTATGCTAAATAGAATCACATTTATTGGTTCATTTACGAGCTAATAATTAACAATGAAATTTGTACTTGATAAAAAAAAAAAATAGTATAAAAATATATAAAAAATAAAAATAAAAATTGCTTACGCTTTTTATTAGTAGAATAGATATAGATAATAAATAAATCAAAATATTATATTTGTTTTCCCTTTAATGATACAAACTGTTTTTATTTTTATTTTTTATTATATATTCTCTTCTAATTAACTGTTTTACACATTTTGTAAATATTGAATTTCAGGGAAAAAAAAAACCATTACGACTTTAGATTGTTATGGAATTTGCACATTAATTCTAGCATACACTAAGAACAATACACAGCAAGCAACAGTAACTTTGTGGACCTGGTGAAGCCAATTCTTCCTAGACTGACAATTTGTGTTGATCCAAACAATAATATCACTCAAATTGGTATTACCATGCCAATTGAGGATCACTGCAGCAGGAATAGAACAAGTGATAGATGGTTTCAACACCATCTGGAATCAAGTGATAGATGGTTTCAGCACCATTCGGAATCAATGGTCCATTCCTGCATAAAATACATTGATCTGATTGAGCCATGAAATCTTGTTACTCATAGCACAAAAGAAAACACGGTGTACTAGAAGATGTTGCCAAGACCACCAAGACAACTAAAAGGTTCTCTGAACACTTTTCATGTGGTTCCAGTTGCACCTAATACAATATAAAGACCATAACATTCCCTAGTGTAAATCGCAACCAGTTCTAGGATCAAGGACAAGTGAATCGCAACCAGCCATTAGAGTAACCATTTGCTGGAAACCCTCGTGTTACTCAGATCAAACGCAGAGAACAGCATGTATAACCATGGAAGCACTAAATAAATTTATCAGTTGTCTTTTGGTATGTTGTTGTCGGTATGCTAAATAGAATCACATCTAATAATTAACAATGAAATTTGTAATTGATAAAAAAATAGTATAAAAATATATATAAAATAAAAATAAAAATAAAAATTGTTACACTTTTAATAGTAGAATAGATATAGATATAGATAAACAAATCAAATATTATATTTGTTTTCCCTTTAATGATACAAACTGTTTTTATTTTTTATTTTTTATTATATATTCTCTTCTACTTAACTGTTTTACACTTTTTGTAAATGTTGAATTTCAGAAAGAAAAAAAAACCATTACGACTTTAGATTGTTATGGAATTTTAATACACTAAGAACAATGCATCAAATTTTATTTATACACAATCAATAATACATCAAATATCACTTCAGAATACTTTCAATAAAATGTGTAATACATCAATATAAAAAACATGGGCATACCAATAAGCCATATAATTTAAAAACGAATAATTTAAAAAATAGAAAATTAACACAATAACAGAAATTAAGAAAGGAAAAATGACAATAATAAAATAGTTAAGAAATAACTGACCTGGATGATGAAAGGAATGCTAGGCACTGTCACAAAGTCATATGGCCTCCCTACATGGAGGTGATAGCGGTGTAATATGGCTCCAAGATACAACCCATATCCGCAAGTGGTCTTCTTCAGGCACATCTAAAGAAAGACAAGTGTGTACTAGCCTTGTGTCAAAAATGCGCCAAAATCAATAAGTAAATATATATCTCTAATAGGAAGATGTGAAAAAGATGAATAGAGAAAGAGCGATTTTTCTAACAACAGCTCACAGCCTCACATCTATATTACCCAAAAGTTTTCTCATAAAGTATGGAAAACATGGGAATAAATAATATCATAATAATTCTTTAATAATATTTATATTTTTTATTAAATACTTTCCTTTTCACCATGAATAAACTGTGATAAATTGAAATTCATCTCTTATAATTCTCATTCCTTGACCATTGCCTTTGGAGCACTCTGTCATCATCTCTTATTATTCTCGTTCCTTGACAATGGCCTCACAAACCGCTCATTTAGAACAGTCGATCACTCTCAACGCTCTCAGATCATATCTTGCAGAGTGCATCTCCACTTTTGTCTTCGTTTTCGCCGCTACCGGGTCCTCCATGTCTTCTCGTGAGTTCCTAACACTGCTTTGGTTCTAATGAGATTCATTTGTATATATGCATTCTTTTTAAACACATCATTACATTTTTGCAGTATAACTCATATTAATTTGGTTACTTGAACAAATTAAGATGATAATTTTAGTTTATTTTAAGGAAATAATCTGAAACTCTTAATTTTCAGATTTATATGGTTTAATATATTGATTGCGCTTGTAAAAGGGTATGTTATTTCACACTTGGGATGGACAATTGGGTGATTACTTGGTTCAATACTGGATTCATTTGAATCAAATAGTAGTCACAAAAATGTGAAAAAACAGTGTCAAGACATAGTCTACATCTATATATGTCTAACAATGACTTTTAATTAAATCACGGGTTTAATCCAATCTCTTGAATACACACACATTGGTGGGTAAATAAATGTCCATATCATGCCTATATGATCTGTTCTCTGGTGCTGTCATCGATGGTGTTGCATTCTTGAACACTATATGCATATAGTTAGTTACCCAATAATTTATTTAAACTGTTTGCTTTTGTTTTTAATCAAAAAGATAGATAAAAAAAATGTGTTAGAAGTAGTCAAATTTTGAAATATACTGATCAACAATATATGTGATCTGTTTTTGTTTATGGGAAAGTAACCACTATCCAATAAAATAGGGTGTTAGATGGCAGAATTTGTTTAATTTGGCTGTGATTACAGGGAAAATGATGCCAGATGCTACATCAGATCCATCTAGTCTGGTGGCAATTGCGGTTGCAACCGCCTTTGCATTGTCAGTGGCGGTGTACATTGCCACCAATATTTCTGGTGGCCACGTTAATCCGGCCGTCACGTTCGGAATGGCAGTGGGAGGGCACATAAGCATCGCAATGACCATCTTTTACTGAATTGCACAGATGCTTGGTTCTGTTATGGCTTGCCTTCTCCTAAAAGTGACCACAGTTGCACAGGTGCTGGAAGTGTACATTTTAATGGTCCATTTAAGATGTGTATTACTAGTTAAATCATAAATGCCGCAAATTGTGTTAACATGAATTTTGGGTATTGCAGCATGTTCCGACCCATGCAATTGCACAGGAAATGACGGGGTTTGGAGAGTCTCTTTTGGAAGGGGTGATGACATTCGCTTTGGTGTACACTATCTATGCAGCCAGGGACCCGAGGCGTGATCAATTGGGAGCCATTGGGCCCCTAGCAATCGGGTTGATAGCTGAAGCCAATGTGTTGGCTTCAGCACCCTTTACCGGTGGATCGATCAACCCGGCATACTCATTTGGGTCTGCTGTCGTGGGTGGTAGCTTTAAGAATCAAGCAGTGTATTGGATCGGACCATTGATCGGTGCCGCAGTTGGCATCGTTCTTTATGATAATGTGGTGTTCCCTAGTCAAGGGCCTGAATCTTTTAGGGGAATTGCAGATGGAGTTGGAGTTTGAACCATAGAAGAGAAGAAAATGATTGTGAGGGCAAATGGTGGATTATAATGCTCCATCTTTAATAAAATAAAATGCACTAGTGTTCTGATTGATTAGCAATTTAGGTCAATTTATGGACTTCTTATTGTTGTTGGATTGCGGTGATTTCATATAATAAGTACCCCTTGCCTTCATAATACAACAAATCCGAATGAACTAGCAAAAGATCCGACCTTATATTATTTCCAAGATTTGTGGTCTTTGTGAATCTTATGGTACTAAGGGATTAAACCAATAAACTTAAATCCAGCAATTTGACCTCTGAAAACAGTATGAAAGAATAGACACATGAATCAAACACACAATTACTTCTTCATATTGAATGCTTATGCCAAATAACCAAATTAATAATACTTCATGGAGCTTATTTCCTCACTTAATTTCCTTTTCTTTTCCTGCATTTTCTCAGCCACCAAATAAAACGTGGAACTATAAACATACGTATGTAACTGAACTGAACTAACAGGACATGTAAAAGCACCAACAGTTCCAAACCCATCTTCAGATCAAAACTTTAAAAAGTAAAAAAATTAGAAAGAGAAGTGCGCAGAAAGTACCTTTAGCTGAAAATTTCGCAGCGATTCACTGTCGGTGTCACTTCACCGTTGTTGCCGATTCCGGTGATGTCGAAGTTTGCCAGTTAGGGTTCTGCATCGGTGATGGCAGTGCTGAGGAATAGTCGGTGCAGCCTACTTTTCTGAGAAAAGATGGTTCCAGTCACGTGCTTGGCGCGCTCGAAATCACCTCCTCTCTCGTCGGAGAAGTTATTTTCAAATCTACTTTTAATAATCATATGTCAAAGATCATATCATTATGATCATTACATATATTAAATTAAATATTTAATTAAATTAATAAAACAATTAAATAAAAATCTTTATAAACTTTACTCATAATTTAACTTACAGGTATAGAATAGAAGCACATAGGAAACTCCATAAATTGAAGTTTTTTCTTATTTTTTTCAGATATTAGTAATATTTTTTATTTTTTTTTTCTGAATTTATTAGTACTTGGTACCGGTTAAGTACTAGTACACATACCCACCCAATCTACACATTGGGTCTCCGGGTATCTAAGTGATACCTACTCTGGGATTGTGGTATATATATATATATATTTTTTACCAAAGTTAGCAAATTAGAACTATAACCATTTAATTCTAAATTCAACAGTAATTGGTCACTCTTTCTCATACCCTCTTCTACAACCATCGTAAAACGTGAACCCTCCCATACCCAACCTTGTTATATTCTCAACTTGTATAATTTTCAATTCAAAAATAACTTATAGTTTACCATTGATCATTTTCGATTTCACATAAATGATAGGGTAAATGCAAAAAAATCCCCCTGGCCAATTAGCAATAAACTCCCTTAAATTACAAAAATTGTAACTAACCCCTTACACTATACCTTTTTGTTGCAGATGACTCTGATAAGTGCACAAAACTTGTTATTTTATACATAATAATAAATAATTAATTAATATTTTTCATTAAATAAATATGCTTATATCTGTTTTTCATGTTTTATAGGGGTTGATTTCGGAATAAGAATAAAACAAACAAAAATAGCAGAAATTTGGAATTATACGATCCATCAAAGTCAAATTAAGAAATTGCCTTTTCCATTAAATCAGCAAAGATCAAGCCAAATTAGAAAGTATATCAAGACAAATTGGAAAGCACGTCAAGTCAAAGATCAAGCCAAATTGGAATGTATTTTAGGAAGATTTTATTTTATTTTATTTTCACTTCTATAATTATAATTTTCTCTAAAAACAAGGACATATGTAGAGAGGTAAGATATACAGTGTTAGTAACATAAAATAATAAAAGTTAGAGAGAATTTTTGTCTTCAATTTATTTCTTATAATTTTTGTTATGAAGTTTGTTTTTATATCTTTATTTTGTTTCCTATTATGCTAGCTTAAACACCATTTCTCAAGGGAGTAATGAAGCCACCATGGCTGAAATATAAGTAAATTTACTTTAATTCTTTTATGAAATTTTCGCTTTAGAACATTATTTTACTCTTCTATTATGTGTTCTTATTTTGATAAAAAAAAATTAGAAAGAGGATTTTCGTATTTACCAATTATTGGTAAATGGTAATTCAGAGAATGTCTGTTTCTATCCACCAAAGATATATCAGATTAAGTAGAATATATTATCAAGCAATTATTATTTCACGCTATTATTTTCCTTTATCTCTCCAAGATATAATTGGACTGGTGGAGTGATTTGCTTATAATAGGAAAATTTACATACATAGATATATACTAATTTATTTATAACAAGCTGCGGTGGTGAATTCTTCCCTGAGATTTTTCTTATTATTTGATTAGAATTTATTTCGTCTTATTTATTTATTTTATTTTTAGTTTATTAGTAATAAATCAATAAATTGTTTTAAAAATTATTCTTCCTTAAATTTTGGTTTTAATGTTCGACCCTACTTATTCTATACCATTTTTAATTTAGTTTTTGCAAGTTTTTTTTTATTTTTGCACGAACACTAGTCAAATGGCGCCGTTGCCGCAAATCAATTCAAAACTGAAATTTTTGGGAGGCCACCCAAACTTTCTATTTCTCCCTTTCAATTATTTTAATTCTTATTTTTATTTTAATTCTTAGGTTTGTAGGCTTTTTTATTTAAAAAAATAAAAAATTGCTTCATTTATTAATCCGTTCACCAGTTTACTGGTATTTGATTTTTTATTTGTTTTATTTTTTTTTCTTTCCTTAATTTTCTTTTACTTTTCTTCCTCTTTCTAGATATTGACCTTTGTAAAAAAATAATAATAATAAATAAAATAAAATAAAATATTACAAAGTCAAACTGCCTTATACAAATTCAAACTGCCTTGTTCTTCATTTTTTGCTTATTGCTTAGTATTTTATTCTATATATTGAAGCTTCCCTCGTGATGCAGCCTTTTCTCTCAGTGGGTGTTGCAGCTAAGCATTAAAGAACGAAAAACGAAGAAGAAGCGAACGGGGCCTGTTTGTACTCCATTTCAGTCCCATATTTGTCGCCGGAATCACTCCGCAAGCATCGCCGTTCAGCCATCGTAGCTTCGTCGGCGTCCGAATCCTCTCTGGTTGCCGATCCAATCACAGCCATTGCCGTCTTGAAGCTTTCTTCCTCGCCGACGTGGAGGCGCCTCTGTCATCGCAAGGAGTTTCTCTGGTCATTGCTGGGTATTTAGCGGCAATTTGTGTTGCTATAATTGGGTATATATATCTATATAGTAGCATATTTGGCTTGTTTGCTTACGGACACAGCACTATCCCAATTCTGTAATCCGTACAGAACTAACCTAGTTGTGCATAACCTGGTTCATTCAATAAACTAGTTTGAAAAAAAACAAATAATAAAACAATAATAAAAAAAAATAATACAGATTGTTGATTCAGAGGACTAATTTGGGAGCATTCAACACTTGGATATTCATATTGGAGCGTGTGAACACACGGCAAACTATTGTTTTGTCTTCCTGTAAGCGATTTCGAAAGCTCAATAGTGTAACTCGGAATGATCATTTTCCTCTATCATTTATTGACCAAATGTTAGAGAAATTGGCCGGTCAGTCATTTTATTGCTTCTTAGATGGTTGTTCTGGCTATAATCAAATCCCTGTTCACCTTGATGACCAACACAAAACCACTTTCACCTGCCCATTTGGTACATTTGCTTCATTTGGTTTGTGCAATGCACCCGCTACATTCCAGCGATGCATGATGAGTATCTTTAGTGACATGGTTGATAAGTTTTTAGAAATTTTCACGGATGACTTCTCTGTCTTTAGCTCGTCATTTGAACAATGTCTGCACCATCTTACTCTCGTGCTTCAGCGTTGTTGTGATACTAACCTTGTTCTTAATTGGGAAAAAAGTCATTTCATGATCCAAAAAGGAATTGTCCTAGGTCATACCATCTCTGGTGCCGGAATCGAGGTAGATAAAGCAAAAATTGATCTTATCTCCAATTTACCCATTCCTAAAACTGTCCGCGACATTCTACCTTTCCAAGGTCATGCTGGTTTCTATAGGCGTTTTATCAAAGACTTTAGTAAGATAGCACGACCTTTGACCCATCTTCTCGCTAAGGATGCCCCATTTGAGTTTACCGATGCTTGTCACTCTGCTTTTGAGCAATTAAAATCCGCCCTCACTACTGCACCCATAATCCGGTCACCTGATTGGAACCTATCTTTTGAGATCATATGTGATGCGTCAGATTATGCAGTCGGGGCTATTTTAGGGCAAAGAGTTGATAAAGCACCCTATGTCATCTACTATGCTAGTAAGATCCTGAATGATGCACAATTCAACTACTCAACCACTGAGAAAGAATTATTGGCGGTAGTGTTCTCCTTTAACAAATTTTGCTCTTATTTGATAGTATCTAAGGTCATCGTTTATACCGATCATGCTGCGTTGAGGCATATTCTCTTTAAGAAAAATGCCAAACCTAGGTTGATCCAATGGATCTTACTCCTTCAGGAATTTGACCTTGAAATCCGTGATAAGAAAGGCTCTGCAAATGTAGTCGCTGATCATTTGTCTCGTCTAGTTGTTGATTCGATTAGCAATTCTCTTCCCATCTCTGATTATTTCTCTGATGAGCAACTTTTTGCTGTATCTCCTGCACCATGGTATGCCGATATTGTCAATTACATTGTCATAAGTTGTAACGATCCACTCCATCACATGATATGATATTGTCCGCTTTGAGCCTGAGCCCGCACGGTTTTGCTCTTGGGTTTCACCCCAAAAGGCCTCATACCAATTGGAGGTGACACACTTACATATAAGCACTTCACATTTCCTCTACCCAGGCGATGTGGGACTGTGCGCACCTGTAACTCGCCAGTGTGGTAGCCTGACAGTATCTCTTGCACCCGCCCACGGCACACCCACCCACAAGATCATCACAATCCTAAACAGTAATTTAGTCATTTAAACAATAACTTACAATTTAGGAAAAAAACATTCGATAAATCCATAACCCAACAATACTTTTGATTATTTAAATTACATATCCAAAATTTAAGCTTTGACAAATCATCCATGTCTCCACCACTATTATTTTATTAACATATATACAATAATACACTATCCTGTATGCATTAAATTATTCTAGTCATAATCCAACCTATACATACCCTAACCTTATATGATATTTTAAACATCTAAACACATAGCAACTTAATTAGGCACCGGCAAATCAACCATGCCATTTGTAAATATATTTATTTATATACTAGCAATTTAACCATGCTTCCTTAAGTATTTTTACTTATAAAATTAATGAGCAATTCAACCATACTTCCCATATATGAAATTTATTCATAACCAATAAGGCAATATATCAAAGCTTTTTAATTATTTTCAATTAAATTAGTTTATTAATAGGATTATATGAGCATGTTTAGTCTTTACAAAATTATAAATTTAAACATGAGAATGTATATATGTGATGTTCTGATAAATTTAAAATCCTTATATGAGGTTAGATTAATTAAACTTTATTTTCAGAAATTTTTATAGATTGCTTTAACCTTGTGAAGCATGATGAATTGAATTAAATAGATCTTAATTTAATTATGTGTGTTCAATTAGGCTCAAAATAATTAAATTAAGCTTGTGGGATTTTTCTAGAATTTTTTGAGATTTTATGGAAATTTTCTGGAATTATTTTAGGATTTTAGAAGTTATTTTTTATATATTCTGTATATATATATTTATATATACTGTTTATATGTACGTACTGGGGGGGTGTGTGATCGGCGCATCATGTAAGG